CAAAACATGACTTAGTACTTGGTGGCAAAACCCTTGTTGGCAATCACAGAGGTCAGACGTTTCTTGTAGTTGGCCACCAGGTTAGCACACCTCAGGAGGAATTTTGTCCCACTCCTCTTTGCAGATCTTCTCCAAGTCATTAAGGTTTCGAGGCTGACGTTTGGCAACTCGAACCTTCAGCTCCCTCCACATATTTTCTATGGGATTAAGGTCTGGAGACTGGCTAGGCCACTCCAGGACCTTAATGTGCTTCTTCTTGAGCCACTCCTTTGTTGCCTTGGCCGTGTGTTTTGGGTGATTGTCATGCTGGAATACCCATCCACGACCCATTTTCAATGCCCTGGCTGAGGGAAGGAGGTTCTCACCCAAGACTTGTCGGTACATGGCCCGTCCATCGTTGCTTTGATGCGGTGAAGTTGTCCTGTCCCCTTAGCAGACAAACACCCCAAAGCATAATGTTTTCACCTCCATGTTTGACGGTGGGGATGGTGTTCTTCGGGTGATAGGCAGCATTCCTCCTCCTCCAAACATGGCGAGTTGAGTTGATGCCAAAGTGCTCCATTTTGGTCTCATCTGACCACAACACTTTCACCCAGTTGTCCTCTGAATCATTCAGATGTTCATTGGCAAACTTCAGACGGGCATGTATATGTGCTTTCTTGAGCAGGGGGACCTTGCGGGCGCTGCATGATTTCAGTCCTTCACGGCGTAGTGTGTTACCAATTGTTTTCTTGGTGACTATGGTCCCAGCTGCCTTGAGATCATTGACAAGATCCTCCCGTGTAGTTCTGGGCTGATTCCTCACCATTCTCATGATCATTGCAACTCCACGAGGTGAGATCTTGCATGGAGCCCCAGGCCGAGGGAGATTGACAGTTCTTTTGTGTTTCTTCCATTTGCAAATAATGGCACCAACTGTTGTCACCTCATCAAGCTGCTTGGCAATGGTCTTGTAGCCCATTCTAGCCTTGTGTAGGTCTACAATCGTGTCTCTGACATTCTTGGATAACTCTTTGGTCTTGGCCCTGGTGGAGAGTTTGGAATCTGATTGATTGATTGCTTCTGTGGACAGGTGTCTTTTATACAGGTAACGAGCTGAGATTAGGAGCACACTCTTTAAGAGTGCTCCTAATCTCAGCTCGTTACCTGTATAAAATACCCTTGGGAGCCAGAAATCTTTCTGATTGAGAGGGGGTCAAATACTTATTTCCCTCATTAAAATGCAAATCATTTTATAACATTTTTGACATGCGTTTTTCTGGATTTTGTTGTTGTTAGTCTGTCTCTCACTGTTCAAATACACCTACCATTAAAATTATAGACTGATCATTTCTTTGTCAGTGGGCAAACGTACAAAATCAGCAGGGGATCAAATACTTTTTTCCCCCACTGTATGTAAATATCCCTCGATTTCCTGGTCTGGAGGCTGGCTGCGGCACGGCCTGGACAAGGACATGACGAGCGATGCACGTGGCTCCCTGTCTGTCACTGCCACCGGCCGCCGAGATTAACGGGCGGATTGGATGTACGATCACAGAGGAGATGAGCGGCCACAGCCATAAAGCGCAAGCACGGATGATTTGGCGATGTGGGGATAATAATGCCAGCGTAATCCAGCAAAGTACACGTCTGTGTGAGCATTGGGTTCAGGAGAACATTTTAGTATCATCGATGTGGAAGCGGCCTGCTCTCACCAGGCGTAATGTGCTGTGGAAGTTAAGCCTCATTGTATGGGATGTGGTCATATTAATAGAGCTGCTTACGAACATACGAGTTATTCACTTGGTGTGTACTACACATGGTGTACCGTATTGAGCTGTGTGCTACAACAACATAAAGTCATTGACAAATTGGGCCCGACGCTCAGTTCTTTATTTTCCAGAGTCATTCGCTGCTGACACCACATTTTCATTCAGCAAATCAAACTTTTACGTTCAGCATTTAATTGGCATTCAACAAAAATACACAGAAACCTTAGGTCTTCGAGGCTGTACCCCTACCCACAACTGACAATAATGCGGTCCGCAGCCACATCAGGCCTACGATTTAGGAACGGCCGGGAGGATATTTTTTTGTATCCTGTGGCTGCGAGCATCTTGAGCCATAATCGATTACTGGGAGGGGAACACATTTGACCAGGCAGGCAAAGTTGTGTTTCTAATTCATATACTGTACGCTCAGTCACTTTTATCACTGCATGTGCCGCATGCAGCGACAGAGTTGTCCGGGGTGTGTGTGTGTAACGTGTGGTGGTGACCCGATTCCCGCTCACGGCCAACACCAGTGACGATCATCTGAACCGGTCCTGGGCCTCCCCTAGGTCGACTCCGCCTCAAATGAGTACCTGGTGCGGTGTGTAAACATCGCCACTCGGGAGACAAAGGCGGCCGGGGCGTGGTGCTGGCCTCCCAACCCCCCTCGTGTGTCCTCCCGGCCTTCATAGGTGTTCGCTAGGAGCACTTGCTCCTACAGTCCGTGCAGAGGCTGCAGGTTGCCGACCCCTGCTCCACCGGATGCCCTTGACCGAGCAGTGGCGTGAGCAAGCAATTGCAGGGCCGCGCCTTTACCTTTCCGTCCTGCTAAGTGACGCCCGTTGCAATTCGTCACAGCAGGCCGTTGTGCGTTCATTTGCGTGCATTGCGATCGATTGAAAGTAACATTTTCACTGGGGTGCGGGGGGGGGGGCTCGTTTCGAAATGCGGTGGACAAAATGAAGAGGAAATGCAAATGGAATCTCGGCGTGGCGCAGGTGCCCCGCGTGTGTCTGTGTCCTTCTCCGTGTGTCTGTGTCCATCTCCGTGTGTCTGTGTCCGTCCCCGTGTGTCTGTGTCTATCCCCGTGTGTCTGTGTCTATCCCCGTGTGTCTGTGTCCATCTCCGTGTGTCTGTGTCTATCCCCGTGTGTCTGTGTCCGTCCCCGTGTGTCTGTGTCCATCTCCGTGTGTCTGTGTCCATCTCCGTGTGTCTGTGTCCATCTCCGTGTTTTTGTCCATCCTCGTGTGTCTGTGTCCATCCTCGTGTGTCTGTGTCCATCCCCGTGTGTCTGTGTCCGTCCATCCGCGTGTGTTTGTGCTGGAGGGAGCACGCCGGGTTTTGCTTTCCGGCCCCGTGTTTGTGTTGGACGGGTTACGACCCCCCCACTCCCAACTACTGCCCACTTATTTTATTTTTTTACACCGCGGAATTGAAGTCCGCGCTTTAAAACTTCCCATCTTTTAACGGCTCAATTTATTTCATTTTTTTACACGCCTCCGTTGAACGCGCACAGTCGACAGAAGTACAGTACGTGCCATTGTTTGGACCGCTGCCGTTGAATTCCCTTAAAATAGATTGTTAAGAGAAAGATGGGTTATATGTGTGTTCTGCTGTCCTGTACACGTGGCCTCACGGTACAGTGCTATAAAATTGCACGGCGAAGAAGCGTTGTTCACTGCTCGCGTAATGTTTGTCGCAGTACAGTAGCAGTGCCCGTTGTTTGTTGAACACTTGCAACTATGCAAACAGGGCTTTCCTGTTTCTCTACCTGTCTCTGCAAGCGCCGTGTAACTGATTCCTCTGCACGCCTCGGCGTCTGAGATTGTAACAACAGCGATAAGTCCCATTGCTGTGACTAGCGCATTGCACGGCGTAACACGTTAACATTTCTGATTGGATGTGAAAGGTTTTTTTTATGAATGGAATCAGATGGAAGTGCATTATTCAATTGCTGTGTGTGTGTGTTGTTTGGGCATTACATCGTTCTAGAATTAAAGAGTACAGTGGAGACGAATGCGGACAGCTTGTAATAATATATCCACCGTGTGATGCTAGTTATCGTTGCAAGCTTCTGACCATTATTCGGTGCGGCCGTCGTGAAAATTGGCTACCTTTTGCTTGATAATGAGAAAGAATATCTCTGTTGTAGACATTGCTTTGCACTTGGAAAGTTGATAAAATGTACATATTTGTAATCGTGGGTTTTGCAAGAAGAGTGCACGGTAGGATTTGTGGACGAACAGCTGCTATTTGGTTCACCATTCCTTGCACGCTCAAAATTATAATCTCTGTGCGAAGCCGTTTACGCCACTGAAGTTTAACATTGTATTACATCCTTGCGGGGAAAACGTGGGCGCAAGGAGTTAATGCATTGCAGTCACAAACCACAGTCACCACAGTTTAATTCCTGGCCATGGATAACACTGAGCAGCGTGGTGAAGTAAGGTCACCTCCCCCACCATGACTGAGATTAACATGAGATGACCTTCATCCAGCAGTGGATTGATGAATCTGTGATTAATTATGATAATTGTTCATTATTATTTCTGGTGTCAGAACTAATATTCCCAGATATGTTGTGGTAACTGCCTCAGCCAGTTAAATGCCAATGTTTCAGGTTTATAGTAACGTGTCAAATGTTCATCTGCTCGCACGCCATTTTCAATAGAAACGATTTTGACCTGAACCGGCACCGCTTTTTAGACTGCTGCCTACCTAGGGACTCTGCCGTACTGTGACGGGCAACACACCGGACTGGCAATCCAGAGGTCACCGGATTGAATCATTCTCCTGGCGCAACAATCGAAATTAACGGTGCAAGTTTCCAAAATCCCCTCCCCATGACTCAGCAGTGTAAATGGGTACAGCAGTCGATTGAGAGAGACATCGTGTGTGGTAGGGTACAGTCTGGGTACACCCACCTCGTCAAATACATCTCGCCAGCGCGAAAGGGTACTCACTCAAGGTTCCCTTTAGATCTCCCTTTAGTGGAGGCCCTATGTGCCATCAGTGGCGTGAAAAATTAATTACAGGGCTGCACTTGTCCTTGTAAAAGTAAATTATCTGAAATTAATTGGCGATCCTTTGGTGTTCGCAGCTGCCGCGTCGCATAGTGCCTGTGCAGCGTGTTCGCCTCGAGCTTGACTTTCTACATCGCGACTTGAGATTGGAGGAGGTGGCGGCGGTCGCAGGTAACGTAATTTTCAAGAGGTGTGCGGGGGGCGCCGTGATGTTGTGTGCTTGCAGATGAGCTCGGCCTCCTAGGAGGGGGGTGGGGGTGCTAGAGGAGATGGCAAAGGCGTACGTGGACGCGAGCCAGAGTGGGGCACAGGCGGGGCCGTCGGGCCCTCGCTACAGCCTACCCCGCTCTCCCACGCTGGCGGAGCGCCTCCTGAAGGTCTACAACTACTCGGACAGCGTGGACCCTGCCAGCAAGTTTAAGAACGTCCGCTACGGGGACTCGACGGATGTCAAGGTACCGATGGATTACCACCAGTCCCCTTCACCGAGTCCGCTCATGGCTATGTGCGTCACTAATTGCTTTGGCTGGGTCACGGTCAAAAAGCCCTCTTTGCAAACAGTGGGTGGGAAAGTGCTGCGTAAAAGGAGCCGACTTGGGTATGCCAGCTTCACAGCTCTGGCATGTTTATTACTTTGCATCTAAGGGTTGAAAGCCTCCATGCATTCTATGTCTATCTGTCCGACTGTCTGTGTCTCTCTCTGAAACAGGAGGGCACACGATAATGATAGAATTGGAACAAAACATTTGTTTAAAGTTGTGTTTCTATTAAGGACTTAACCCCAAAGAAAACCAGCCAAAACTTGGGAGATGAAATCCAGAGCAAAAAAAGACTACCATATAAGCAAGTATGAAAGCGTGTTTTCCCTGACAGCTACTCGTCAGCTTACATCCTGATCATTAAAACATTACATCCGAAGACAAATGCAAGTTGCAAAGCATTGCAGAATCCATGTAAATGCACGATTTTTCCCAACTTGTCAAATCATTGACATGTTTGTTTTCTACTGGCAGCAGAGGAAATAATGTTCCTTGAGAAGATAGCATATAATGCCCCATGTTTTTACAGTGGTTTTATTTGGGCATAGATTTATATGGATTTTTAAACATCAACTTTCTCAATCTAAATTTTACTTGGATCAAAGAATATAATTATTTCAAGTGTACTTTACAATAATTTGTCACTTTATTCAGGGTTAGGCTATTCAGTAATTTTACATGCATATTGGACACTTAGAACCCCATTTTCATCTTGAATATCAAAGTCACATGGTTTTCACTCGGACTTGAGCAATGATCCTTCACCACGACATCACCTGTCCTGGTTTTTCCAGGATTGTCTTCTTTTTGTGGTCACTATCCTGCAAAATCTATGTCTTCTCTGGGGAAAATAAAGTTGCTATTTATGCCTCTTCCATAATAACACACCACTCAAGACAATGCATTAACATATAGTTCTCCACTCTTCCGGTAGCGTGAGACATTCCCGTGATACGTCCCAGGTTGTTTTTGTATAGCTTACAGAGGTGGCAGCCGTAGTAGGTACTCACGGAGGATAAGATATGCGCGTATGCGATATAAATCTCGCAGCCAGTGTTCCCGATAAACGATCGGCACGAGCGGGAATGTGCTTGTACGTCTTTGGCTTGCCGTGCATGCGCATGCGGGAGTCATGCAGTTCATCATAGCCAATTGCAGGTGAGATGATTCAATGGCTGATTTTCAAGAATGTAACCCACAAAGCCACCTGCAGGCTGTATCACTCGAGTTGGAAATAAGTGCGACGTCACCCTGCCCAAGGCTTTCTTTTATCCTTAAAAATATATATAATAAATCGTTAAACCACATGTGAAAATGGAACATTTGTCTACTATGGTATTAAGGGAAGAATGGCTTATCAATAACACATGGCAGCCGTTGCGTGGTTTCAACTGAGGAATAATTCGTTCCGGTTGAATGCAGATGCGTTTAACTTTCTCCGACATGCGTTTAACTTTCTCCGACATACGTTTGAGCTGTACGACTGAAAATTATAAGCTTTTTTTTGGGTTTGCGATTAAGTAGCCAAAGATAATGCTGACATCCACTAGAACTTTTATATTTCACAACAAACACATGCGGGGAGGTGTGGTTTTGAGTCGTGCCCGCTTGCATGATGTGCGTCTCTTTAATTTTGGCTGATGCAAAGACCGCAACATAGGGCGGTGCATGATTATGTTCAAATTCGCATCTGCGAGTAATCGTGTAAAAACATGTGTTTTCTTAAGGCTTCTACGTCAGTGTAAATTTATGTGTTTTTTTGGGGGGACATGTGCTTTGGTTAGTCCCATAATTTCTTTACGTTTAAATTTTATATATATATAAAAAAAATCGTATATTGTTCTACAATATTTGATATCTTTATGACGACATGAACAGCCCTTTGTCCATCCCCTGCTAGAAGAGTGGTGTTTTGACCATGCTTTACCACACTGGCTAAGGGCGGTTTGTGAAGTAGGGTATTGTACATGTGAGCTCACAGAAGTACAGTACAACGGTGGATTTTGGTCCTCTGCCCTCTGCTGCCCACAAAATTATCCTACAGCCTTTAACACCTATTATGCATGGTGGACGGTCGCCTCATCCAAGCACGATCCAGGCCCCGGTGGCATCTTCATAGCCCCTTTTAATCAGATTTCATCTGTATATTCTCAACCACATTCCAAAACCTGTTGAGTCTCTTCTCCCTTAACCTTCTTGAGAATATTAGTAACCCCTGCTAGGATTCTAACTTACAATATTTCAGTCGATTTAACCCCCCCCCCCAAAAAAAAAACACCAGTTGCTTTGATTTATAAACACTTTTCGTGGCCATCTTAGGGGGGAGGGGGCTTTATCTTCGTGGAGAGAGAAGGTGACGAGCGTGATGGTGTCTCACGACGTGTTTTTGTTTGCAGAACATTATCCACTCGATGGTGGCGTCGATCAGCGTGCAGTTTGAGGCGCACTACGGCATGCGCCTGGTGCACACCGAGTCTGAGGAAATCCACTGGCTGCACCCCGACCACGCCGTGTCGTACGTGCGCGAGAAGTACGAGGCGGCCCACCCGCCCGAGGAATGGAGGTAACGCTCTCGCCACCTCTGGGCCCCGCCAGGCAGGCCCCTCCAGGCCTCACTAGGCCCCTCCAGGCCTCACCGGGCCCCGTGAGGCTTCACCGGGCCCCACTAGGCCCCTTGTTTGTGAGCTAGTGACGTGATTCGAAGACGAAACCAATGGCATTTTGCAAAGTTTACCGGGGTGGATATTTGAACTGTTTAGCACAACAGTAACACTGACCTGTCTTTAGAATCTGACTTCAGCCTTCTGATGAATTTGAATGACTGCGTGAGAAGTTTTTTTTATGTTGTCGAGTCAACGTGTGTTTTTATTGTTGCTGCAGATTCTTTGCCCGTGTTTGTTGGGGATTGTGCGTTTAGGCTCACAGTCGGTGAATTTATAATGTTAAACTAAATTATTTTTTACTTTACCAGGTAAGGCCCACTGAGCTATTAAGCTCTTTTTCAGAAGCGCAACCTGGCCCACAAATGATAGCTCAACGAAGTGGCTTATCATGTGGAAATTTATAGTAGCCAAATACTCTAATTATCGCCACACAAACCCTGCCTGTGTTGCCCACGTGTTATGGCTGAAAACTTTCCACCGCCTCACAAATGCACCACATGTTGGCAACCCTGGCTGGCTGGCTAGCTAATGAGCTCTTTGCAATTTTTATTTAATGTTATTATGCTGGAAGCCGATGAGTGTTGTTCAACAAACGCATGCAGGTTGTGCATTGCACATCTCCATGTGCGTTTTCCTTCCTCTAAGCCAAAAGCGCCTTCAATGCATGGAGTCGACTGCTCGGAGTTTCATTTCTTCGCGGACTTCTCTCCTGCCCTACCTCTTGTCTCGTCCCGGCCGCTAATTTCATATCTCATTCCACCGCATCATTTCGCTCTGCACGGCTGTGAACAATAAGTGTCTGGCGGCGCTAAACGACGCGCGGAACAGCCCCAAAAAACACGTCGGGGAGCTGTGCATTGCAGCACGACAACGACAAACCCGACGCATGAGTACATGGGTCATGTTGCCCACACCTGAAGTGTTTGTTCATCGTGCGATGTGTAGGTATGAATTAAGAGTGAGATACTACCCCAAGCGTTACGTGGACCTCTTCAGCAAAGACAAGCCCACATTCACCTACCTTTACCACCAGGTAGGATACTCTGCTCAAGTACTTGGTTTAAATGTGTAATGTGGGGTCAGCGGTGGTGCTGTGGTCCCTGCGCACCTGCGTTAATGAACCTAGTGACCTGTATGTATGTATGTTGAACGTCTTTCCTACCGTACGTAGCCAACCTTGCTAATCGGAGGCACGGGGGAAGGACAACAAACTCAACACAAAAAGCAGCTTTAAAGAAAATAGTTTTCAATCTTGATTTAAAAGTGCATAGCTTTAGTGGCTTCCTAATATCGGAAGGAAGAGCGTTCCAGACAGCCATAGAAGCACATTCGAAAGCGTGCGATGCAGTGACCGTCTTTGTTCGATGGCTAGCCAAAAGCCACTGCGAGGACGACCGGAGTTCACGTGATAGTTTATGTTCCTTGACAAGATTCCCGGCTACGGCTAACATTAGTGTCGGTAGACATCCAAACTGGTCCTGGTTTCCCCGCTCCCTTCACCAACCTGCTCTGGCCGGTTGCGGTGAACTTTGGTCAAATAATTCCCGTGACTAATGCGATGTGGGCAGGCCTTCATCTAACAGGGGATTAACAAGGGCTTTCATTTAATAATATCAGCACAGAGTTTGTGATTGGGTGCCATCTCGGCTATCGTTTAGCGATGAGTGCTGTCCTAATCCTGTCTTTTTCTACCACACAATACCTGTGCCCACACGGCGTGGTAATGTAATAATTAGCGCCGTCATCTCATAATGATCCCTTTCACTTCCCAGGTGCGTAGCGACTACATGCAAGACTTTGCGGAACATGCAGATCATGACACAGCAGTGCAGTTGGGCTGCTTAGAGATCCGGTAAATCACTTTTGTACACACACACTTCCAAAATAGATGCGAGACCTTGCCATACTTTACAAGCTGCTGTAAATTCTTCACCGATATGGATAGTGGTATTGAATATCGAAATTACACAATTGGCATTCCCGTGCAGTCTTAAAACGAACCACATGACTCATGCACTTAGCGGACCGCTAACAAGATGCTTTTGTGATGCACCATTGGGGAATTCGGCTTTTTACAGGAAAGAGACGCATATAATTAAGTTCTGTGTCTGTTAATAAAATTGTGTTGGTGTGGTACTTAATGGTAGCGTGTGCACATGCTTACTGCTGTTTTTAATATTTTTACTTGTGATACATATGCAGAGAGAACTTTGTATGTATATAAACTGAAATATACACTTTGGAACACTAAAGCTCCAATTTTGTTTGCTTACTATTATTACAGAAAACGTTGCACATGGATGTAATCACACAGGAATTGTAATTCAGAGTAAACCAGTTGGCTCGATTCGAACTCTCAGCTTGGCGGTTGAAACAACGGGGGAATTTCTTAAATCCCACCACCTCCATCAATCCGGCAATATGAATGAGTGTATCACAGGGGGTCGATTGACAGGTCATGTGTGATGGGGGTAAAGTGTGGGTACTGCCACCTCCTTTCAAACGTGTCTGGCCAGCGTGGAAGAGTAGGCCATAACCTCCACAGGAGGGGCTCTCTCCAGAACTCCCTCTCTCGTGTAGGCCCTCCTGCCAGCGGTGGCATGAGCCAGCAATTGCAGGACTGCGCCTTTGCTACAATTACGCAATGAAATATTTCCAGTAACACGAAGCGTGACTTGTCCTTTTGCCAACAGGAGATACTACAGGGAGATGCCGCAGATGGCACTGGATAAGAAATCAAACTTCGAGTTGCTCGAGTGAGTCATTTTTTTTCCCCATTAATTTTTTTTGCTGATGTATTAAATGGTACATTTTCACCTACTAATTTACACTTGCCATTTTGGAAGGGGGGATGGGTAAAACTGCATGGTTATCGCTCGCCTGGAGTATTCCTCTACAAGTTCAAGGGCACGCTAACGACCGAGCTAATTTTATTACTTAAACAGAGCAACATCACACTTGTAAATTCACCTTTTCAGGTTTATTTTGTTTAACCAGCTGAGAATTCAAGAGACCAGGTGATAGTCGAATTGGCAAGAGTGACCTGGGGCATTAGTCTACCAGCAGGGGGCGATGATTGCTGCGTATAATTACAGTTGAGTAATTTGCTTGTAATTTTTGCATGTGAACCACTTGAATTTATTTCGCATCGTACATAGCTAACCGTACTAATCGCAAGTAATCACTTGAGGCTGAGTCGACCTAGGGGAGGCCCGGGACCGGTTCAGATAATCATCACTGGCGTTGACCGTGAGCGGGAATCGAACTCTGGTCACCGGGTTTGTAGCGTGGTGCGCTAACCACTGCACGACCACTCTCCACACTACGCCGACACACAACGGCCTACGCTTGGTGATTGTCGTCGGGGGAATATTTAACTCCACTGTGAGTGAAGCAGACGGTGTTATTATGGTTATGACACAGGCTTCCACAGAATTAACCAAGGCGGCTGCTGGATTTGAACCGTGAACCTCTGCAACATGCGGCGACCGCACTACATCACCCGCCCAAAGGCATAGTCTGTGGTGTTTTAATTTAGGGAATGGATCTTTTTATTGTAATTGCCCGTTTTTTATCTCCATCCAAAGTATTTTTAAATATCATTAGCGCTGTGTATAACCATCCTTGTTCCAAAGGGTGATGGACAGTTGGAATTTTAAAGAGTGAATAACATTACTGTGGAACTTTTTCATTCAAACTGTACTGTGTGACGCAGAGTGAGTCATAATTGTGGCTTTGTCAATCTGTCTATAGGCATTCCGGTTCGTAGATAGATTCTCGTGCTTAATTGCATGGGAGAAGTATAATTCATTTATTCTCTCTTCAACCTTTGTGACACGGGCACCGCAGAAAACGCACGCTGACTGATATTACTTCACGTGCATATTTTTTATTTTAGCCCCTGCATGTTATAAAATGTTTAGTGAAAGATTACAAAATATTATGCCACAGTGACTTGTACATTGTGTACTGTGGGGATGCAGTGAAGTGGCGATTCATCGACTGGTAACCGTTCTCCGAGCTCATGATGAGAACATTAACGTGTTTTGATTCGTATGTGTACCGTATGTAAAGTTTTCACGTGATCTTTATATCTGCTAAATCAACAGTTCTCAACCTGTGGGGTGGTGGGAAAGCCTTTCAGTATGGGGGACTTTGGGTGGGGGGGGGGGGTTTAGTGAGTTTATGGGTGCAGTCTGCAGCATGGATACTGTGTAGGAGAACTAAAGAATGAATGTGGGCTTCATCAGCGCCACATTGCAGTGACAAAATACACGAATACAAACCATGATATAAATGCCTTACGACAGCGATGACTAGAAATGTGGGCATGGAATCTCGGTGCATTGTGACCTGGGGGCGGGGGGTGTCATCGGGACAAGTGGTCTCGATTGTGGGGGCCGTCATACAAACAAGATTCAGAATCACTGCACAAAATACTCATACTTTCACCACAATCCCAATTAAATTATAATGCTTCAGAATCAGAATCTGTATTTCGACTGGAGGAATCCATTGATCCTTGAATCAGCTGTCAATCCTGAATCACGACAATCGAATTGTGTGCTCCCTCTTGTGGCTGCCACTCCCTCCTTAGTCTCGACAAGCAGCCATCTTCTCTCCGAGCGACGGGGACGGGTTCTTTTAGCACTGGTTTTTGTATCTTGTCAAGTTTTTGGGCGCACTCGTTGATGAATCTGACCAGTTTTCATGTCGAGTAAGTCCATCATAGCAACGCAACTTTATACGGCAGACAGCGGTAATGCATCGGTGATTTTAACCTTGGTTGTAATGCATCAAAGATTGAACAAGTTCATTGTTTAATTATTAACTTACTAAGATATAAATTTACCCCTCTATAAATTCAACTGCTATGGAGAGCTTTTACAGGTGGGACAAAGTGCAGCTCCCTTTGTTTTATGGACTGGGTAGGTCTGAGCACACTCATTACTCATCTCTTGTCCAATTGACAGCAGTTTTCAAACATTTCTTCTTCAGTGTCAGTTTAACACGTAGGCTTTCGTGACCAATATTGTACTGCATATTTTCAGATTAACATAATTCATCGCAATTGACATGATAGCATTAACCCCCCCCCTCTGATGTTCGCACCTGATAGGCTCGCAGTGATGTCATCACCTTTACTCTATTTAAGACTGGAAACAGGAAGACTTCTTCACAATTCTGGAAATTTGCCTGATGAAGCTGATTGTAATCACCAGCGAAAAGAACTAGAATTGTAAATGTTGTGGGTTTACTCTCCAACACACCGGTGTGCTGAAGTAACTAATTGGCACGTTTTGTTTACGTGGCAAACCTTCCTAATTGGCTGTGTCGGGTGGCAGTGAGTTAACAACACATTTATACTTACGCGATCTAACCCAACAAAACACATTATGCCTCCGAAATTGTATTTGTCACGCCGATGGTATTCATGCTGTTGATAGTTTCACAACTGACTTCCCATGTGGCTGCCTTCTTTTCTCGCTGGCGCTGCTGCGTCCCGCCACACCTCAGGAGGGACGTGGGCTTGCGGAGGTTTTTTCCCAAGCAGATCCTCGACACGTGCAAGGTGACCACAGTTCTGCTTCACGAATCGGCGGAACGTTCTGTTTAAAAAAAATAAAATGCGTTGCGTCACGTTTGGGCACGCGGGTGTGTTTATAATATGAAAATGTAAAAGCAAAGGTGCAGCCCTGTGATTGCTTGCTCACTTCACCTATAGCAAAAGGGCTTCCACTAGAGGGAGCCCTCCTAAAGGCTATATTGGCCTACTCTTCCACGCTGGCCAGACGTGGGAGGACCCGTAATTTACCCCACCACACGCCACCTTCAGATCGACTCGATGTGGGGAACCCATTCATAATGCTGTGTGGACCGGCTTGGATGGATTTATCAGCACATGTTTATATATTACACATTGCGTCTTATTTATGGGCTTGCATGCTGAATTCTTAGTTTTAGTTGTGTGTTTCTCTCGTAAAGACGGCGATTATGTCTATTTATAAACTGTATTCTGAAATAGGGTCAGACAAATTGATTTGCTGTCCTGGCTGTGTGCAAGTGCCTTGCAGTAGGGTTGTAATGCACTTAAAATCTCAGATGAATCGGTGGTCCATCTGTTTATACAATTATGAATGACACACTTTTGAGTCGTATTTATTTCATTGTTAAGGTTTCCATATTACCTCCCGTCATCATTCACGTTCTGTAATTATAAATTGTGAATCCTGAAAGGACCAGATGTTGCTTTTGCCGCCACAGCTGTACGTTTTTTGTCTGTGCTGATTTCCCGGCTGTGTGTGTCTCGTCAGGCCAAGAACCTGCGGAGGATGATCCATCAGTCTTTCCGGCAGTATGCCAGCTTCTCGGAGGAGCAGTGCATGCTGAAGTTTTTTGAGATCTTCTCCTCTATATACCGCTTCGATCAAGAAAACTACAAGTGTGGGCTTGGGGTGAGGCCTGTCGCTCAACCGTACACCTCACTTTGAACGTTTCTTAATTTCCGGTCGAAAACAAAGCTCTGGTGATGCAATGCGATGTCGTTGATACAGGACTTGGTTCGTACTTGTGTTAGGTGTCATCAAGTAATCGATGATGATGATAAAGAATGCCTTGTGGATTTATTCAGCATCTAAATGCAACAGCATCTTAAGAGGCTGTACAAAGACAGTGGGTGTTTTTTTTTTTTTAATAGAGCGAGGCTGTCAATCATTGGCAGAGGGGAAGAAAAGAAGATCTTCGGTTTGGATATGAACTGGGCCAGGAGACGAAGGCACAGATGGCTCAGGGAAAGCAGTTGTAGACCTTGGGGCTGTAGAGGTGAATGAATGACCTCCCAATGCACGAAGGTTGACTGGGCCCTTTGACAGAAAGCCTCGGTTGCCAGACTAGAGAGTGCATTGGAGGGGTTTTAGAGTGAGAGGAGAGGTGAAAGGTAGACATTGGTGAGGATCTTGAAGACAGTGAGTGCGTGATCTTAAATGGATGTGGCTTTGGATTGGGAGCCAGTGGAAGTGATTGGCGTTTTGGGGTGATGTGGTCACGTTTGCGGACCTAGTTGAGTAGTTTGGCAGTGGAAATTTGGGGTCATCTAGAGTTTGGAGATGAGGGACTTTGGGGAGGCAGTAGAAGTAGTTGAAATCGAATCGGGATATGATTAAGGGACGGATATGCGTCTCAGAAGCAGTTGGGGTAAGTGAGCCAGCCTGCAATATTCCCCTTGTAGCCTTTTTCCATGTGGTGAAGATAATTATTATCAAACGAATTGTTTCTCATTAATACTAATGAGAAATTACAAATCGAAGCCTCCCAAAAATAAATGCCATAGCTTTGTATGTCAGTCATGGAGAATTAGTCTAAAATAGTACCTTTTATCTTGCCCTTATTGAATCACCTTATTCAATATTCAATTGCCCTTTTACATTCTCTTTTGGAACACTGCATTTGCTCTCATGCCCATCAACATGCACATAATAGATCATAGCTTCTCATCTGCTGCTCTCATTTTTGGAATAATGTAGTATTCACTCTGCATACTTGTGATTCTCTGCCAGTGGCTAATACCCACCAAAACATATTTGTCTCCTAATCCCTTATGGCACATCCATATATTACCCTGTCATGCCTGTGAATTGTTCAGAGATGCCATTGCATTTGGCAAGATAAGAAGCCCGTGTTATTTGCAGAGATTTGCACAATTACAGACGGGTTCAAAGCGCTGCCTCGTTTGCACCGAATGTCGCTGTCAAACACAACGCGGCATGGGAATTTAACCGTGGCGGACTTAAGTCGAATCGTGTTCTACTGCACGTAATGGTGTTGGCTCGTTCGACACATTGCTGCTGGTGCAGATAATTAATATTCTAGCGTGCAGCGGTGTGTTTGTCCGTAGGACGTACAGCTGCACTACAGTCTGTGTTACCCTTCCTTTGGCGTTGCTGTTTCCCGCAATGCCCTCTTCCGGCGAGTGTTAACTCTCAAGTAAACAGGGCAGGCTGCGCCATCGGGCCTTGCTCGTGAGCTCTCTAAAGATGTGCTATAGAACACAACGCTTTGGAGTGATGGCGTTAAAAGAGGAACGCGGCGCGGTGATGTTACAGCCGTAGGATAACAGTGAGCCTCAATTGCGGGGTTGCCTAATTGTTAATGGTTAAACTATTTTTATTTAAACGTTACACATACACGCCATATTGGTCATAAACATTTTCTGGTGAAAATTACATGTTTTTTTTCTCTTATTCCTGTGCTTAATGATTATTTATTGCACAATTTGATAGTCCTCTAAGAATTTACAGCCAACGTGGCCACAGTTGAATAATTTAGTCGTGCTGATTAAATATTTAGGACATACATATGGGCCATTTTATCATATGAAACTTTTAAAAACCATTATATATGCACGAGTGGTCACGTTCTGAAATATGACACTTGCTATTACCCCAGCTCTGAACGGAGAGACTAATGGCCACATTTGGCTCCATTAAAATTCTGATTTAATGCATTTTAAATTCTCTCTGAATGGCCGTGATTGAGCATGTAATTTTACAGTATTTATAATTTTGCAAATACGCCTATTTATAGGTTTTTTTGTCTGCCTCGTATGTCTAGTTATAAATAAGTGCATTAGCTTTGACCTGTAACTTAAATCACAAACTATTTGATGTGGCTGTTATGATATTCCTTAGCCAACTAAACTTCAATAATAACTTTAACAATCTCCAAATGAGGATTTTTACTTATATTTAATGTTTATGATCAAGTCTATAATCAAACCCATCGCTAATGCTCTGTGTGACATTGTTAAAATTCTCCACTTTTGCCTTTTTCAGTAACACTAATTGTTCTAGATTGTCAATGGTTACAAATATGTTTCCCTGCAGTGTGAATATTTAAAACTTAAATAGCTCGTGGATCTGCGCAGAACGGGTCATGTCGCAGTTGTGCCGCGGTTAGCGGGCTGCGCTAAGAACCCGGTGACTCAATTTCGTTACCCACTCACGGCCAACACCAGTGACGGTTATTTCAACCGGTCCTGGCCCTCTACTTGGACGACTCAGCCTCAAACGAGTACCTGGTGCGGTGTGTATAAACATCGCCATGACGGGCATGGTGCTGGCCACCCACCCCATCGGGTGCCGTGCCGGCCTTTATAGGTGCTCGCTAACAGCACTTGCCCCAAAAGTATGTTGAGGCTATAAGGGGGATCTTTTTTTTTGGCAGAGTGGATGGAGCATCTCTGTGGAGCTGGCTATTGGCCCTGAAGATGGAATCAGCTACCTGACTGATAAGGGCTCCTCGGTGAGTCTTGTTTCCAGGATACATCCAACGGTCCCTTGCTGTCTGTCTGCCTGCCTGTCTCATGTGTTTTGTCTTTGTCTCTGCCAGTTTAACACGTCGGCTTTCGCGACCAATATTATTCATAATAAACGTTTTTGGGTTAGATGGCGTAATTTATAAATGTGTCGTAACCCTCCACCACCCGACACGGCCATCAGTAAAAAAGTGTCACGTTTTACAAAAGACAAATAGTTCACTACTTTGTCTCTACCAGTCTCCTTGACTGCCTGTCTGCATGTCTGACTATTTATACATGTCTTTTGCCTACTTGCCCATCTCTCTGTCTGCAATGTCTGCCTCTGTACTTTTGCACGTTTGCCTCTCTGTCTCATTTCATCTATATCTCGCTGTCTGTGTGTCGGTCTGTACGGGCTGGTTTGTTTGTATGCCTCACTCGGGATTTTATTCAGGCTTGTCCATTTGTTATGTTTGTCGCATTTCATCTGTCGGCTGAGATGCAACTTGACTGTGCAGTTTGACCTTTTCTGAGACTAACGGTCACATGCCTTTGCATAGCATACTAAACATATTCCATCATCTGTGAGCAAATAAAATGCAATTTCTTTACAAAATTTCAGAGAACCTATTTCATTAGTCCCATTCTACACATTGCATTTTTTTCAGTTTGTCAAAAATATTTGAGAAACTTTTAAAGATGGCATTTTATATTAAGGGTTCGGCTTCCCATTTCCTTTTACCAAAAAAAATTGCACGGCAGAGCCAAACAAAGAATGTCCGCAATATGGCAGTTTACTGGCGCAAGGTTGCGAGTTGAGATGTGAGTAATTCCTCAGTGACTTGTCAAGGTTATGCCTCTCTCTTTCCCTGGGGCTTGCCTTGGGAAAGAACAGGAATCAACAGATGACAAGCGGATGTGCCCCTCTTTGAAAGAGCAGTGTCGGAGAATGATGCTATACATTAGGGATGAGTGTCTAGATTTTTTTAAATCTGGTATTGGAGTGTTTTTTGCATTTTAGGCCCAATTTCAGAGTTCACTTCTTTTCTTCTTATTTAACAATTGATTAAAAATTATAGTTGCTGAGCACAGGCCCAAAAACTATTTAAATGTATTGAATTTTAATAACTTTATCTGCTTATGGCCTAATTTGGATCATTTCAATTATTTTAATGATTAATCATTGAATTTTTAAGGTAAATTTTAATCGGTAAAGCTATTTTTTTGTTATGTTAAAATATTGTTAGAAAAATTGATGCTACATAGCAGGAAAATAATGTCAGGTGGTATAACTTTTTGCAGGAAAAGCACAGAAGTGATGCCCCGGGCATTAAAGTCACTTCCTGTGCCTTTCGAGTTTCAGATCAATCCCAAATAAAATAAATTCAGATTGTCCAAAATTTGTTATCTCGGTCTAGTTTCGGATTTTTCTGATTAATCTGAAAATCGGGACCACATCCCTTCAATACATATATAGAGCAGAGCTTTGAGTATTTTTCCCTTCTCTGTGGGCATCCCAGTTCAACCCAACATTCCAAACAATCATGAATGCTATTGAGCCAACATGCCGCTGCAAGTTGCCATCCTGCCGTTAGTCTCAACCACTGACCGCCCACCCCTTCCAGCAACGTTAGACCGATGACTTGGGGAAGCTCCATCCAACAGTGGATGGATCATGGCTGAGAGATGATGGTGACGATGATGGACAATGCATGCCCCTCCCCCCCCCCCGAGTTTTGAGGCTCAATGGGGGCTTTTGTGGGTAAACAGTATTATTAAATGTGTAAAAACTGTGCCACATTAGTCACACTTGTAACTGCTCAGTCGATTGCAGTGTACCTGAACTTTTTGCCAAATAATATACGCAGTTGTGTATTTAATTGGGTCTTTACAGACACTTTAATTAAACACCAGGCGGTTTATTTATAGTCACGTGAGAGCCCATTGAGGCGATATGCCTCTGTGGTCAGGGACGGTCTGAATCGTGGACTTTTTAATCTTGTGATGTAAAATAAATAAAATCGCAAGCAATAGATCTCGCATGGAGTTAAGTGAACGTGACGGCTGTATAGCGGAGGGGCCTGTTATTTATATCGGTAGCCAAGTTTGATATTATGAACCGCGAAGGGCTTATTAGGTAAACAATTCAACTTGAGTGAGAAAGCATTAAATTTACGGCTGTGGTACACGATTATGCTCGCCTTGTGAAGTACGTCCCTGGGGGGGGGGGGGGGGGGGTCGGGTGGGGGGGCCGTTTTTCTTAGCGGATGGGAACATTTGCATGTGTAAATTACATCGAGTTGCACGTTTTAAGTTTTGCCATTGGCGGGGTGTGTACGTGGGTGAAATTGAGAAGCCGTCGCCGCAGTCACCACAGCGCTGTCACGTGACCGCGACCCAGATGCCGAGTGCCGGGGTTTATTTAACCCTTCCCCGTTTGAGACTACAGTAAAACCTTGGATTGCGAGCATGATTCGTTCCGGAAACGTGTTTTTTATCCAAAGTACTCGTATATCAAAGCACTCGTATATCAGTTGTGATCACGTGACGCTCGGCAGACAAAGCGTATACGTACTACTCGTTTTGCAAAACCCTCGCTCGTTTATCAAATTAATATTTAAATTTTTTGCTCGTCTTGCAAAACACTCGCAGACCAAGTTACTCGCAATCCAAGGTTTTACTGTACTGTGAGATTGCAGGAGTGTGGGGTGGGGGGGGTCCCCCATTCGCCGCCGGATCTCGGAACGCGTGAGCAGTTCGGCTTGAATTTTGATTTGCAGAGGCGTATCGCCGTTGCTATTAAAGACGTCGTGCTCACCGCAATGAACCGTAGCAACACGACCGCCGCCAAACTGTGCCGCATGTCTTGTGGGGGAGCCCGTTGGTACAGATAAAGTTATTAAATTTTACTTCTGCCTTCCAGTTCTGTGTTGATGACGTACGTGTACGTCATCAGAACGGGATAGGGTTTAACGGCGGCCGCCTTTCGGGGGTGGGGTCGTGTTTACGCGCAGCTTTTCTTGGATGCTTGGAGCACAGTAAAAACCCAGCACCGATCTATGTGACACGTTGTCGCGCTACGTTATGTCCAGCAGGGACCAGCCCTCTCCTCCCCCTCCTCCTGCCCCTTCTCCTCCTGCTCTTGTTTCCTCCGCCGCTTGTTCATTAGAGTACCGTCTGACGGAGGGGCGGGGCAGGCGGCCCCCCCCCCCCCCCTCGGGCATTGCCAAAAATAACAAGCTTCCTCCTATAAGTGTCACTACCCCAGAGTCTCAGACGCAGCGTTAACCCCTTCCTCGTGCTCTGCTCCACGATTAGTAACGGTTCAAGTCCAGCACGTTCTGTGATTGAGTGCAGACTGAGAGCAAACGATAATTTGGAGTAATTAGTCATTTGTTAAATGCGCCGTTCTTATGTGGATGTATGTATGTTGGACTTATTTCGCACCGTACGTAGCCAACCATGCTCATTGGAGGTGCGGGGGAAGGACAACAAACTAAACACAAAAAGCAGTTCCAAAGAAATTAGTTTTCATTCTGGATTTAAAAGTGCATAGCTCTGATGGCTTCCTAATATCGGAATGGAAGAGCGTTCCAGACGGCCGCATAAGCGCATCTGAAAGCACACGATGCAGTGACCGTCTTTGTCCGATGATGAACCAAAACCCGCTGCGCGGATGACTGAAGTTTGCGTGATGGTTTTATACTCGTTGGAAGAAAGAAAAAAAGCGCAACGCTAACTCGAAGGTGCTGTGCTTCACGGACATTGTCCGCGATAGTTTCGCAGTAGGGGGCGATGATTGCCCTGTGTAATCCCAATCCAGTAATTTGACAAGAGGTGTGCATAAGTCATTGGAGGCATGTGCGGTACTTGTGCGTAGCCAACCGATTAGCACGGTTGGCTACGTGCAGTGCGAACGAAGTTCAAGTGTACATACGTACAGTGTAACGACCGTCGACTATCGATGTTCATATATCTGACCTTTTCACATATCCGCCTATATCTCAGTCCCCCCAGTGAGTCAGATATGCAACATTGGACTACGCTTGGTTACACAGGGTGTTTACAGTGACCCCACTGATATCTGATGTCCCTCTTACTTCTCAACAGGTGATTGAATGTTCTAAAAGCAATGGCTCCGTATGCTAAAGAGGAGAGAGCCAGACTTGTGGAGTCTTTGAAAAAAAAAAATCCTCCATAATTGTGCACGATTAACCTATTGGGGTGTCTATACATGGATCACCCAGCATTACACGGAGGGACGAGGAAGCGGAATGCGTGGATCGGAGAACAACCACATTGACTGCAAAGGAAAGTCGGCTTTGGCAGGGATGATGGCCGGCGGTCGAGACTAATGACCGAGTAGCAGCCAAAGGAGTGGATGCAACCAAGAGGACGTCTACCGAGGAGACGGAGTGATCACATTGGCGCGTGGGCAGTTGGCTAGGTGGACTGTCGCTTTGCTAGGACCGTGAGGATTTTGCGATGGCTTGGGAAGGCCTTCATCCAGCAGAGGATAGATCATGGCCGACGATGATGGTTAACACATAGTAGTAAATGTCAGAAGCTTGACGAGTAGACAGACCCGAACAGTTGCGTTTTAAAAGGGCTGTTGAAGTAAATACGACGTAACGCAAATGAACCTGGTGATTGTGGAGTTGAGCTATGTCACGGTGTACTCTAGTTGTGGGTCTCATCTGGGGGCTTATCTGAATTAAATGCAGCCGCGGTGCTTTAGCTGGGAAGGTGTAGTAGCACTGAACGACTTTCATCGCGTTTTTACCTGCATGCGAGCCTTCACTTTATACATATCGAGGCCAACACTGCCCCCTCGTGTGTTCACGACAGAATGCATTGGCCTTACGACGCTGTGTGGGCGGAAACTGCAATCTTTCACCCTCGCTGGAAAATTTGATGATTTGTCACCATTCGGGGTCACGATTCGACTCCGGTTTTTAACAGTTGCTGTAAAATGGTAGCGCCTCCAGTGGTTGCAGAGTTCACGTAAACCCGTTGTAATGCAACGTAAGGAAATGGCAGTGTGGATGCTCGCACCACCGGACCATCAGGAGTGGCGAAGGTGAGGGGGAGGCCTTCATCCAGCAGTGGATAAACAATTGTTGAAGAAGAAGATGGTGATAAAAAAGATGTCAATTTTCAATCCACTGTTGGATGATGGGCCTCCTCGTGCCATGTCAGTTGTGGGAGTTGACCATACTTCACTGCACGGGTCAGTGTTGGTTGGTAAAAGCGGGGTCCAGGACTGGGTTCACATCACTCGCCACTGATGCCCTCTGTGGTACGGATTTGAACTCAGGTTGCAGGGTTTTTGGTTCAGTGTCCTAACCACTGTACCACTGCTCCCCACCACATAGAACGCATCTCCTCATCCTCCCCTTCCTCCCCTGTGCTCCCCCTTCCTGCTGCTCTGATCTACTGGGCGTCTGCGAAAAAAAGCTTTATAGCTCATCGGATTCCTCCAGTATAATGAAAGATTATGACTCTAATAAAGATTATGATCGCGAGCCGTGTTCCCTCTTGGTCCGTCTTGAGGACATCCGTCCCGGCATCCCTTCCCTCTCCTGTTCATCTTGCCCCCCCCCTGCCGCCCTGTTACGCAACTGACGCCGCTCCCCCTTCCGTGGCGTGCCATAGGTGACAATGTTTTGTATGAGTTGACAGCATCAAGCCTTACCCACGCACTCTTCCACCCCGAGCAGTCAGGCACAAGCTAAAAGTGCTGCGTGGCAGCTTCATCAGCAGATTTTTTTTTATTGAGTATCACTGCGCAAAAGTCTCTTCTTTTTTCTTGTACATATGCGTTTATAATCACGCTTGCAACTTGACATTTTCAATTGAAGACTTTTAAAAGTGACATTAACAAAATAAGCACAGATTTTGTAAGCGTTTAGGCGTACGAGCGGATATTTCCATCACTTCGTTTCTGACAATGTCTACAACTTCAGTAAACCCGCGCATCAATGCACCTGACGCTTCCGCGTGCACCTGTTATTGACGTCGACCGTGCCCTACTGCTGATCGGTGCCATGTGCGCTCAGCGTGATGAGCTTCAGACGCGTCTTCCTCCCTTGCGCCCTACAGCCGACGCACCTGGCCGACTTCACGCAGGTCAAATCGATTCAGTACTCCCAGACGGAGGACCGCGACAGGAAGGGCACCCTGCAGCTGAAGATCGCCGGAGCTTCGGAGGTGAGTCATTAGCGTCCGGCCGTCCCGGTCTGCCTTGCGTCCCGATGATTCCGTGAATGCGCGAAGAGGCCAGCGTTAGCTGTCCCACGTGTCTTCGTTGGTTAACCGCGCATTGTTTGAAATGATATCCGACGTTTCTCTCCGCGCGATGGAATTTACTTCAGCAGCTCAATGCAGTTCCTGTGGGAGGAGCAATTCACCATGCCTGGCAATTTGATGCGTTGTCACCATGCAGGGTCATGATTCGACTTTTTTTTTTACAATTGCGGTGAATGGAAGCTCTCAGCATGTGGAGTGAGACTTTAAGCTATTTAATTTTTTTAATTTTACCAGGTAAGTCCCACTGAGCTGTTAGCTCTTTTCTGAAGCAACCTGACCACAAATGATTGGTCAATGAAGTGGCTTATCACGTGGAAATTTATAGCAGCCAGATACTCTAAGCACATGTTGATTCTTAATTTGGAGGGAAAACCCGGAGGACCTGGAGGGAAAACCCGGAGGACCTGGAGAAAAATCCACGCGACCATGGGGAGAACATGCAAACTCCAAATATACAGGTGTCGGGGTCGGGATCAAACCCTTGACTTCCTGCATTACAAGCAAGGGAGTTAACATCCCGCCACCATGGCACCCAGACGTTGGCCGTCATCCCCAACAACTAGAAAACACATCGGCACAGCCGCGAAAACCTTGCGCGGTAATTTGAGACCGACGTTATTTTTCAATTCCCGCAGTGAGCTTTTGTTGTGCAAGCCTCCTTCCTGTACTGTGCTGTGAATGCATCCGAGCAACGGTGCAAGTGGAATAATGTAGGTGGGGGCTGGTGGTGCAGTGTACGCGCACGACGCTAGGAACACGGACGTCCTGAGGTTGATGTCTGGCCACGCACGGCTAACATCAGTGGCGAGTGATATCTGAATTGGTTCGTCCACCCCCTTCTCCACAATCTCAAGCTGACCGGCTTTGTGAAGTATGTTCAAACAACCCTCCATGACCAACACGGCATGATGAACCCTTCATCCATCAGGGGATTGACAAAGGGCTTTCGCATTATTTTTTACGGCATTTAATGCAGGCACAGTTCGTCGGCAGGTTGTGTGCAGTGGGGTTTAAAGTTTTCAAGTTTCATTAGGTACAGCCCTGTGAGCCATGCGGCTCTTAAGTCGGGTGCAACGGCAACAAACTAAATTTGAACACAGAACATCCCAAAGCGACGACGAGCAACAGAAACATCTTGGAATAAACCAGCAAATATTCCACACAAAAAAAAAGTATTAAAACGCTGTGTGAAAAAATCACAATGTGGTGCAAGCCAACAACAACAACCATAAGACAATTTAGATTAACCACATATTTTCGAATCACCGAAATAAAGCTATAAAAACAATGTAACAGTAATCATAGGAACTGTGATTTTAAATTTAACAATAAACGATATACATAACACGTACGACAAAACTTGCAGCCATAGCTGGCAGCACGACACTCCCAGTGTATGATGTGTGAGTGAGTCAGCAGCAGAGTGAGTGTATGGTGTGCGAGTCAGCGTATGATGTGCGAGTCAGCGTATGATGTGCGAGTCAGCGTATGATGTGCGAGTCAGCGTATGATTTGCGAGTCAGCGTATGATGTGCGAGTCAGCGTATGATGTGCGAGTCAGTGTATGATGTCTTGAGTGAGCCAGCACACGATGAGTGAACCTGTGTATGATGAGTGAATGGGTCAGTGGTTGTGCGAGTGTATGATGTGTGAGTGAGTAAGCGGATGATGAGCGAGTCAGTGCATGATGTGTGAGTGAGTCAGTGCATGATGTGTGAGTGAGTCAGTGCATGATGTGTGAGTGAGTCAGTGTATGATGTGTGAGAAAGTCAGTGTCGGCTCCCTCTGCTCGCGCCGTCGGCCCCCTGGCTCCGTCGCCCCCCCCCCCCAGCTCCGTCGCCCCCCACCCCCCCCCCCCGGCTCCGTCGCCCCCTCCCCACCCCCCCCCCGGCTCCATCGCCCCCCCCCCCCGACTCCGTCGGCCCCCCCTGGTAAAGTGTTGGTACTCCCTCCCCTTCCAAGACATTTGGCCAGTGTCGCAGAATTGGCAAAGAATACCCTCTACACAGAGGGGGGGCTCTGTAGAGCTCCCTCTAGTGCAGGCCCTTCGCCAGCGGGGGTGTGGAGCAAGCGATCGCAGGGCTGTGCTTTTAACTTCTACCCACATGAACGTGTGCATTTCATTGCCACCGTCAAGGGCCTTGCAGCCATAGACTGTGGCCACCTGTTTGTTAATCCCCCATAGGCACTCGTGTGCAGGATATATTTAGTGTGCTGCTACCAAGCGATGTCGGACTTGTTTTGTACACCTGCCCTTGAACGCAGGGCAGTGCCTTGACAGTGTAACTAATGAAGCGCAAGAGCAAGCTAAGTGGGCATGGAAAATCACACGGGTAGTGCGCGTGCATGCTCGTAATGCACAACTAATCTGCTAATGGGAAGGTCAGCCCACTGAGTGATATTTAAAGTAAATGGGAGGCTCTCTATGAATTCATATTTATTGTCTTATAACGGAAATAAATGGACTGGTTGTGCGTCTCTTAGTTTATGCACTTGACTTAATTCCTTGTATTGCTTTAAATCTGTCGAATGATTAACTCCAGCTATTACTTTGAACAATGTTGACAATAAATAAAATGACCTGAAATATGTTTGTAAAATTAAGGTATACAGTTAGGATGCTGCCGCGTTATAATGGTTAGCAGTGTGCTGGGCTTACGATACAGAGGCCGACGGTTCGATTTGTACGTACGTACATGTGTTGAACTTCTTTCCCATCGTAGCCAACCGTGCTAATCGGAAGTGCGGGGGAGGAAGAACAACAAACCAAACACAACAAGAAGTTCGAAATTAAGAGATATGTTAGATCCCGGCACGGCAGCTGAATTCCCCCCCCCCCCATCTAACCCATGGTACAGCATGGTTCGTCAATTGACACATTCCGTGAAGTGGGGTAAAGTGTGGGTGCTCCTACCTCTTCCAAGAATGTCTGGCCGGTGTGCGAGAGTAGGCCAAGTACTCTCTTAAAGGGGCTGTCTAGGACTCCCGCTATTGGAGGCCCTTCTGCCAGCAGTGGTTTGTTCAAACAACTTCATGCAATCATGTCTGCACTTTTACCTTTAAAAATTAAATCGCTGGACGTCTGACGGATGGAGTTGGTGCCAGCGTGTGTCCGTTCACGCGTGTATCTCCACCCCGCAGCTGCTCACAATCACCACACCCTCGCTCACGATCGCGGAGAACATGGCTGACCTCATCGACGGCTACTGCCGGCTGGCAAACTCCACCGGCAAGTCGTTCGTTCTCCGTCAGCTCAAAGGTACGCCTCCCTCCCTCCCTCCGTCTGTCCGTCCGTCTGTCCGTCCCTCCATCCGTCCCTCCATCCGTCCGTGCGGCAATCGTCAGTAGTTCACAGCACGGTTCTGTAGAGCTGTCGCGATTCACATCTGTGCCCCTGTTCGTCCCTGCCCAGGAAGTGTCGCGATTCGATTCAAGGATCAGTTCTTATATTTTTTTCAATTGCGGTGAACGGAGCCGGCTGCAATTACTTACAAAATGTACGATTTCAAACTTAGTGAGTCTCGCGCAGTCGATTCGACGCGCGTATCTTGAACTTGAAAATGTAAGTCGATTAATCGCCGCACCTCTACTGCTCGGGTTCATGCAATGTGACCAATGATGCGGTGGAGGATTTCGTGAACACTATTCTGTTTTAGTGTATGGCAGCAATGTGTTCAGGAGCTAAATGCAAATGTCGAGTTCTGTTAGCCACGAGAGAGCTATAGGAGAGTTTATGTGTGTTGTGCTATTCCTCCGTTGAAGGAGCGTAGACTACAGTGGTTTTACTGTATGGTCCATAGTCTGGGTTTCATGGCCACAATTGCACTACCGTGGGCCGTCTTTAATTTTCCGTTCATGAGGGAGATGTGCTCATTAGCCTACTGATTTTCTAATGTGGTTGATGATTACACCGGTGTCTCCAAAGTATATCAAAGCCAGGAGGTGAAATGTTTGCTCGAACAAGGTATTTATTCTGTATGTTTGCGTTGTTCCATTGAGTTTTGCCAGCGTTCTTTCGTGTGGGCGAGTTTCTTGGATGGGCTCTTAACTAGATGCCAAACAAGAAAAGTGCTCCTTATTGCTAACCTCTAACTAGAGCCCTAACCAATGACTGTAATTATTTACCCTTATAACAAGAACTCTAAACCCTGGACCCTAACCCCCCTAAACCATACACGAAAACGAAAGAAGTCGCGTCCCTTCATAATTTATCGAATAAAAGATGAATAAGCGCAAATTGCAAAGTGCCTCTGCGTATTCGCCACAACTCAAGGAAGCCGTGGGATTAACCGAAAATATGGTCCGTCCTCATCATCATCACGATTTATCGTCAGATAGCCTGTAGGTGTCCGCTGCACATGTTGTCATTTGTTTCCACTTTCCTCTGCCTTGTGCCAATATGCTCAAGTCGTGCCAAATCTTTCTGGCACCAATCTCTTGTGGTGGTCATCGTCAAGCCATTCGCTGTTAGGTCTTCCTCTCTTTGTGGTTCCTTCCATTTTTTCCCGAACAACATGCTGTTCATTTTCCTGTTGTCCATCCTACACACTTGTCCAAATAGTGCCAGTTTCCTTCTCATCACTGCCTGCATCATCAGGTCTTCTTATACGTGCAACCTTTTTCGCATACGGTCTCCAATTGGATTAAAATTCGCGGGGGAGAGTAGTGCCAGGGAAATCTGTTTCTCTTCCCAGTGCTTTCGGTGAGTCGTCACTCCCTTGAGAAATTATTTGACGGATCATTTATCTGCTCTGAACCCTGCTGTGGATGAATGCAAATGCCAATTAGCTGTCATTCCTACAGGCAGACTATCCAATTGCAGCTGTGTGACAGAAAAACAAACAAAATAAAACCCAACTGTGGCACGGAAAGAAAAAAGAAGTCGTGTTTGTAGTACCTGTCATCAATGTTGAAATCCGTCTTCCTGTCTGGGGTGACTGCAATGTACCTGCGATGACATGCTCGTCGATAACCACTGTGCTGATTAGTCACTAACCGGCACTGTAAACGTCAAAGTCCGTATTTGTGTCTTGTCTCCGACACGCACACACACGGAGAGAGGGGGGGGGAAGAGTGCAAACCTCTATGGATGGAAGAGAAAAATCCATATTTGCCAGTTTCCCAAAAAGAACTAGTCGAACCTTTTTACCTTTCACAACAGAAATAGTTGCACCTTGGCAAGCATGTGTCGCCATGATCGTTACCAAATGGGTGAGCGGTGGTGCAGCGGTGAGAGCGCTGCGCTATGAACCCGGCAACCCGAGTTCGATACCCGCTCACAGCCAACATTAGTGACAAATATCTGAACCGGTAACAATCTGCGACCGTTATCTGAACAGGTCCTGGGCCTCCCCTAGGTCGACTCAGCCTAAAGTGAATACCTGGTGCGGTGTGTAAACAATACCACTTGGGATACAAAGGCGGCCGGACATGGGTGCTGGCCACCCACTTCCTCATGTGCCGTGCCGGCCTTCATACGCGCTACTCGCTAACGGCACTTGCCCCTACAGTCAGGCTAGACCGGGGTGGGGCGGGATCTTTGTCTCTGTTACCAACTGCGCCAAGCCGTAGGTGTTTGGCCAGTAACTTCGGAGAGTTCCGGGGAGAGGGCAGGCCCCCGCTCGACAGGAGGGGAGGAGCTCTCGGAAATTGCTTAGTCGTCAGATTAGCCTGGAGGGGCGGGGGGGGGGGAGTGTCGTGTGTGCTTCGTTACGTCACCTAACCTGCCCTGAACACGAGGCTGGGCAGGAGACGCAGCGAAAAACCTCGGCGGCCGGCCGCTGTGATACGCCATTCGTTCCACGATCGTTTTGCCTGTGATGCGTGGCACGCGATTTCCTCACTGGATTGCTACGTCGGCGATGTTGAAGGAGCTTAAGTGCTGTGTTTTTTTTGCCACAGATGGAGAGCGAGCGCTGCCGTCCATTCCAAAGTGAGTGACCTGTTCCACGTCGTCCTGCGTGTTGTGTTGCTGCTGTGTGCGAGACAGAGTGAGCCGTCTGGGTTGTTTCATTGGCATTGTGTTACCGATTGCCCATTTCGCTTGGAAGTCAAGAGCCTGTCCTTGGATCTGTTAACTCTTCCTGTTAGTTTGAAATGTTTGCGGTTGCCAAGTTAGGCGAGTTCAATTCCTGATTGGCGGTTGACTCAGCCCTCCAATGAGTACCACTTTGTGGGGACGGCAACATTGGTTGTGCTATGGACACACCCGCCCCCGCCACGGGAATGTGGAATTTTCATCAGTGGCTCAGGTCTGTTAACAGGAGATGAACACCGCTTCAATGCTCATCTGTGCACCAAATCACTTTGACAATAGATGTTTTATGTTTAAATTTAAATGAGTGTCCACAGAACAAATAAAATGTGACAGGAGTAAAGTGCCCAATTACTCTATCCTGGTCCTGTACTTTAACAACTCAAGTAGAACAGGCGTTGAGATATGGCGCAACAAGATCGAATTATAATCTCACGGCTCAACAAGGCAAATACGAGTAACTCCTCGGCAACTTGGCCAACGCAACCCTGCAACGAAGAGACTTTACTTGGGTTTGTGCGAGGCACGTTAGAACTCTGAGCGGTGACGTGCACAATGTGGGTTTCGTTTGTCTTTCATCTGTCAGGGTCCAAAATAACGCCACTCACGCCGGAGCGACGAAGAAAGTAACCCCGGCTGGTAAGCGGTGGATGCCCTCTACATGCGCGCGTGTGCGAGTTGTTGCCAACAGAGGGCAGCACGGTCTTACGCTGCAGGCTCAAAACTGCCGTGAAAGCGTTCGGTCATGAACTTGCCCGAGCAAGCCGTTGTCTTGTTTACCCAAAGGTTAAGCGAACGATCGTTCCACATGAATGTTTGCAGTGCGGGTCCGGAGACACCAGTTCGGCAGAATGTTAACGTGCTCTGGTTTTATTTATAATTGCCGGTAAGGCGCTCCCTTCAGAGCGGTGGGGGTGGGGGGGTGTTACTTATCGGGGGATAATCGAGGGTAATGTAACAAACTAAAAGTTGAATGAGAAAATAAAATAAAAAGTTGCTGCAAAATGGAAGATGGCCAGCATTGTCAGTCCTGGACAGTATCACTTGGATTTCCACCTTTGCTTTCGCTTGAGCTATCACCGATACACCCGCTCATGATACGAGCACCCAAAGCAAAACAAAAATGCTCTTTGGTTCTTTCGGTAAAGTCACGTAGGTAGAAAAAGAAAACAAAATAAAAATGTTTCGCGACGTTTCGATCGCAACACAAGCGGTCGTCCTCAGGCGGAAAAAAATAATCCAGTAGTGGAACTTTTGTTCCACTTTTGTTCCACTCCTGGATTATTTTTTCTGCTTGTGTTGCGATCGAAACGTGATATATTGTTATTTTTCTTCTACCTACGTGACTTTACCGAAAGAACCAAAGAGTATGGATTACTGCACTCACGAAAGCTTCAAATCAAGATCAAAACAAAAATATTTGATTAGGGTGAGAGTAAATTTGTTTTAAATAGACAAAACTAAATGGGACAGTAGCACGAATTAAAACAATCGCACTTTGCGCATCTACAACGGCATACTTTGGAACTTCTCGCAACACGTGTAAACATTGCTTTTGTCTAGTCCTGAGATTATGGCGCGGGTATGTGCACTTCACCTGTCGTCAAATTTTTACGTTAAAAAACGCCCAATGGGCATTATAATGTAATAAATGCAACCTAAATGAAATAATTCCTTCCTGCCCTGTTTCCACCCCCACCCACCCCCATTTATTTTACCTCTGGCTTTTCCGGGGAGATGTTGGCATATGGCCTCACACAGTGGGCTTAATTGCGATAGCTGAATATTCCAAGGGGGGGGAAGGGGAGGAGTCCATAGCAAGAAGTACAACACGGCCATTTGCAGATGACCGATCCCAGGGAGGTGGAACTGCTTCTTGTGCGCTGCCCTTGTCAGAGAGCCTCATAAATAATTGAGTGTTGCTTCTTTTGGTAGCCATTCCTTCCCCTGCACTGCACTTGGTGCATTATCTCCCCCCCCCCTTTCCTCTTAGATGAAAAGCCGTCCTGCTCCGCAGAAATATGTATGTGGGCGTTTTTAATGGCTTGCGTGCACGGTGTTTATCTTTATACGCGTGCCGCCTTACGTCACTCGTGAAAAGCATCTCGGCATAATAGCGCCCTTACGAGACGAAGTACATCTACGTATCTGCGAGTCCCCCATTGTGAATGCTTAATTTGGTCATTCAAGCCACGGAAAAGTGGCTCTATCTCCTGCAAAGCGCCTAATGGTAATCGTGATGTGCGGCATGCAAACGCTCTCCCCGTGTGACGCTGCTGCCGCCTCTCAACGCGGGATGATGACCGGAGCCACTCACTCGAGCACACAGTCACACGGTGCCCTATTGTGAGCACACCGCCACCATGAGATTGCGTCTTGCGTTTGTTGGGATGAATTTTAACAAACCCGTCTTTCTCCGTCCAGCTTCCTTGTCTTTTTTTTTAATTGTCTCTTCTCATGCTCGCTCGTCTTTCGAGAGGGTTGAATATATTCTTTCTTTCATTTTTCAGCCAAGAAAGGCAACCTGTTTTTCCTCCCTTTTCTGAGCTGTTCCCATCGCCGGCGCAAGGGTACATTCTGAGTGAGCGGACGTCTGCGTTGCAGCAGACGGTGTGCTGCGCGGCTGCTCGTGTGACTAATCCCTGCGTGTGCTGCTCAAGGGTTGCACTGGCCCCTCCCACACAGTGTCTTGGAAGAGTTGTAAAACCACTTGCGAAATTGGCCAGTGTCTCCCTTTATCAACTGCATTGTGGCGTTATTTTGTGTAGGGCAGGGGTGGGGAACCTACGACCCCTCGGGCCAGACACGGGCCCATGGCTTGACTTCACATGGGCCCACGGCCACACGAGTTCTGCCACTGTGAAACGGCGCTTCCAAACGATGTTTATCCATCCCTGCGAGCATCTTGGTCGCACTTTTTGGCTACTGGAGGGGAATATTTTCGGCCTGGCAACAGCGCCGTTTCTAACTTGAGCCTGCTCAGTCGCCTTTGTCCCTGCATGGGGTCTTTATAAAATACTTGTCCGACATGAGCATGTTTTTGATGTTGCATTGTTAATGGTTAGCGCTAAAGTGGATGTTAATGCGTGAACCCGCCAAAGGGTGTCCGAAAGTCACATTGGACCCTCAGGAAGTTACAGGTCCTCCACCCCTGCTGTAGGAACTACCTCGTGCACTACCCTATAAATATCCAGGTGAATCGGGTGATGAAAGGGTACATGCACGAAACGTCTGTTGTATAAAAAAAACTATTACAGAGAATGCAAAAGCTTGCCTCGGTGCGATCCCTGCGATGCCGTTTGTTGTTCACTTCACTTGAGCTGCTACTCTAACAGCATGCTCGAAGCACTCATCAGCTGACTGGGGCAGCAAGCATTGACGACAGCCACTGGTTTGAGAGTTTCCAGGTTTTTTTCTCGTGTGTTAGTCCATCGATTCATTTACGCATATCAAACACCGTCGTGGCCTATTCTTTACCTTCTTCCCGGTGACCGTGCAGACGGGGGACGACTGACGTGCACGTGCGTAAAACGCTTGAACATGCATGCGCAGCAGAGGTCAGCAGAGAGAGAGAGAGAGACGGTGGGCGGCGCGTTTGCGCAGCGCGAGCTGCTTAAGCGCCGGTCAGCGTGGCGGCCTTCCCAGCTCGTTTTGTTCAATCGTTATTTCCGGCTTTTGGCCGTACCGTCCCGGAGTCGCCGAGTCGGCGTATTCGTTGCGTTTGATTGGGCACGATGTAAAACCGGCGACAATGCGCAGATGCTTGCAGCGACCCCAGGTATTCTCACGTGCATTTTCTTTTTGTCTGTTCCCTTTCCTCTCCGCTGCATACATGCCCACCGGACATAACAGCCAGCAGTACTAGTGACGGTAACACGTCTTACATGCTGTTACATCCGCTGTCTTGCTAACCGCGCCACACACCCTCACACGTCGCCCGAGTCGCGTTTTGCCGTTAACACCTCGCGCGCGCGGACGACGGGTGTGCGGATGACCGTCGGGCCGCTTGAGGCCGACGTGTAATTAATGGTATCACGAAACAAAGGCGGAGGTGGCGGCTTGTAAATTAAGAGGGGGCGGCCGCGAGGAACAGACCCCGGCCGCTTTGCGACGGGAGGATAATAAACGCGGCAGTAAATTTGGTCGCCTCGGTGGATATCGCCCGCACGCACATGCCTCCGGCACGTCAATGGCCCCATTCAGAGCTGCCACATTCTCCGTGTCCGGAGGCCTGATAATCTCACGCCCACCCACTTTCGCGTTCTGCTTCCCCCTCCTCCCCTCCCCCCTGCCCAAATTGCCCATCCACCCACTCATGGGCTGACAGAACCCTATTCTCTCCTTGTTTGTCTATTCCGCTGCGGTGGATTCCAGGCTAGTAAGGGGACCCATTCGTGGCCTTTGGTGGTCCCGTAAGCGCTAATAATAATAGCGTTTTCCACGGTATAATTTATTTATTTTGATTCGCCGTCCGAATGCCGTCTGCAAAGAGCTCGACATTTTAGCCGCTCTCAAACACGATGTGCGATTCCTCGATTGCAGATACAGACGACTACGCCGAGATCGTGGACGATGAAGACACATACAACATGCCGTCCAGTGAGTAACCCGCAGCTCTTTTCCGAGTTTTTCACGATCGACCGCCCTCGCACACCTCTGTCATATTTGCTAATCATTTCCAAATTGACGGTCACGTGAGAGTGGCGGGGGAGGGGGGGACCTTCACGTGAGAGGTGGTGCGTACGACGATGGTGCTCTTCGGCACACGAATCTCAGGTGGCTCGTCGCTCGCATGGGTGGAGGCCATTGAGCTGTCCCAGCGCCGTTTTTTGCGCTGCGAGAGAATCGAGGCGAAGAGCTTGGCAACTGAAAAAATTGCGCGCATCCACCGCTAATTTCTTTCCTTGACCCCGCACCAATTTTCATGTTTGCTGCAAATCCTCGCAGTGTCTTCGCCGACGGTCGAGGTGTTCGACTCCATATGGCGGCTTCAGCTTTACGGGCAGGGCGCTCCCCCCTCCCTCCCTCCCCCAACCCAACCCCCGCCATGCTCCTGACACGGGCAGGGTTTGCCAAGCAGCTGCTCCTTGGCCCCGGTTGTGCGGCCTCGGCAGCAAATCCGCCGAGCCGCCATGGCGCAGCGGAGATCATTACCGCGACGCCACACGCGGTCTTCCCTTAATTTGCCAGTTTGGCTTCCAGTAATTGAAGCGCTGGCTTTTGCAATGCTGAGAGCCCCGATATTCTTTCCAGCTCCTCGAGACACTCAATGCAAGCTGACGTGTATATTTTTCTTGTATTTGCGATGCTTCTGTAGTGCTATGTGTATCCGGTCTCTGTGCAAGGGTTGGTAGAAACATAAACTGGACTTCTTTCTTTGGTATTTTCCCCTGAATGGCAATGCAGAAAGCAGTGGGATAGTTGAAGGTATGGGCTTCGCTCCTTACGAACACAACTGCTCGTTCCGTTTGCTCGTGCCGTTCGTACAAAACATCGCGCTTTTACATTATTGTTTTATTGATTTATGCTGGGAAGAAAGCATGCGTTGTGTTGTGTGCTTCGTGCATCCAAAAATGTAATTGATACGGTTCTTTGTTTTTTTTTATCGCCCCGCAACCCCCTCCCACTCGCCCGCCCGCTCCCAACCCAGACATACGTAAACACGCTGACACATCGTGAAATGGAGGATCCCCGAATCGCCTTGTGATATGTGAAAGCATGACGAGCTTCTTGTTACCTTTGGCACATTTTGGCTGAGTCGAGGAACATCCCAAAGTGTTGCTGTATGCACGTGCAGATATGTGCACTTTGTTATCGGAGTTATTTAAAATGGCATGAGACTGCAAAATGTCAGGCTTAGCTTACATTTTCCCATGCAATGCCCTCTTGGCTCCACAGAAAACTGGGAGCGGTGAATTCTATCAGGTGTGCACTTAAAGTGCGTCCCATCTACTGTGCCAGAGCACTTGCGCTTGTGTTCATTCGCTTGCTTGTTTGTTTCGTGCAGCAAGGGACTACGAAATTCCTCGGGACGAGGTGGAGTTGGTGACGTGTATAGGGGAAGGGCAGTTTGGAGATGTTCACAAGGGCATTTACAAGAGTCCGGTGAGCTTCCCTTCCCACGTGCACGTATTGGTCGCCTAATGAGCCCCCCCGTGTACCTCGGTAGGCACTGTAAACCTTACAAGGACATGCGTGTCTCAACCGGGATTACACACCAAACAATGTGTTGCTTTTCAAAATTTTTTTCATTGCTGGCAGAATGAATGAATTAATTATGCATGGGAGGTTGGGAACCAGTGAGTCGGAACAGGCATTTACATTTGCTGACCGTGTACCGTCTTTGTTACGTTATTAATGTTCTTCGGATATATGAAAAATGTATTTGTTGCATACCCTGTGCGTGGAAAAAAAATTGTCCGTGTTATTTTGGCGAGTGTCTTTTCGTTATTATGTGCGTTTAAATTATTGATGCATACACCAATGGCGCATGCTGTATATGTCGTTCCCACATGTCGAGCATTTTCTATTTTTAATACGTATTTTTTCCCCCCCAATTAAATCTCCTGATGCCGAATGCTTTTGTATGTGCACACAGAGCGACCCGAACATGCCAGTGGCTGTGAAGACGTGCAAGGAGAGCTGTTCGGACAGCGTTCGGGAGAAGTTCCTTCAAGAGGCGTGTACGTAGCTACGCTGAGATTCCCAGAGGCCTCTTATCCAGTGCCCTCGCCCCTTATTTCACATTCTTGATGGCCCCTAATCCCATGCACTTGTCCCTTATCCCACTTTCCTGAAGGGCCTTTACCGCATGCACTAGCTCCTTATCCCACATTCTCGGAGGCCCCTTATCCCATGCCCTCACTCATTATCCCACATTCCCGATGGCCGCTTATCTCATGGCCTAGCCCCTTATACCCCTTTCCCGGAGGCCCCTTATCGCCTATTGCTTGGGATAAGGGCTGTCCTTGACCAACACAGCAACCTGCCACACGCATCCCACTGGGCGCACGGCTTAAATGAAAACAAATAATTGAGGACATTCATTTGCTCAGGGAGGGTGAAGCAGTGGTGCAGCGGTTAGTCCACGGAGCATAGAAGCCTACAACATTGAGTTTGATTCACAGCCATGGCTAACATCAATGGCGAGTGAGATGTGAACCGGTCTAAGGCCCCTACACCAACCTGCCTTAACTGGCATGGTGAAGTATGGCCAAATAACCCCCATGACTCGCACATGATAAGCCACTTTGTTGAACTATCATTTGTGGCCAGGTGACTTCAGAAAAATATGTTAATATCTCAGTGGGCTTTACCTGGTAAGATAAAAAAACCTACTGTTTATATATGTTTAAGTGATTTGTTTACCTTTCCTATACTTTGCACTCCTATTATGTTTTTGTATTATTTGATGTAACGTTGTGACCCACCCCTACTGGACATCCATGAAAAGAGCTTTATAGCACATCGGATTCCTCCAGTATAAATAAATATTCTGATTCTGGATTGACAACGGCCTTCAAAACAAATGCGTCGTCACCTGCGTTAGGTCATAGAGAAGCAACGTGAATGTCACTCATTTAGGCATACACTCGCACTATTGATTATTGTCCTGGTTTTGAAATGGCCAGTAAAAGGATAATTTTGTACATTGTCTGTTGTGCTTTGGCTTGCGGAACGCCAGACACCATGCGGCAGTTTGATCACCCACACATCGTCAAGCTGATCGGCGTCATATCGGACCCGCCCATATGGATCGTGATGGAGCTGTGCAAGTACGGGGAGGTAAATAGCGCAGCCTGTGACACGGAAGATCTTTCGCCGGCGGTTTCTGCCGTGACCGTTTTTAACGCAGCGTAAAAGGAAAGTATGTTTTGTCTGAGCAATTTCCACTAATTGTCTCTTTGCAATTTTATATCGATTCACAGAGCTTGGCAGTAACGAAATAATTCATGAGTATTAATTGCCCTGGAACTTAATTTGTCGTTATCTGCAAGGCTGTATGAAAATGGAGTTTGATCTGATCTGATGCCCGTTGTTGACCTGTTTGTGCCCTGTGCGTTGTCCGCTGTGGGTCGTGCATGGGTGGGTGGCGGTAGTGTAGTGGTTAGCGCACCGCGCTATGACCCCAGCGACACCAGTACAATTTCCGCTCATGACCAATAACCGTAGTGAATATTTGAACTTGTCCTGGGCCTCCCCTAGGTCAACTCGGCCGTAAATGAGTACTCTGTGTGGCGTGTAAACAGAACACTAGAGAGACAATGGTGGCCAGACGTGGCGTTGATAACCCCCCCACACCCCTCGTGCGCCATGCCGACCTTGGTAGGTGCTGCTCGCTCACAGCACTTGCCCCAAGAGCCCGTAGAGGGCTATATGGGTATCTTTGAGGACGTTGGTGAGTCATTCTCTTGTCGTTTGCTTGCAGCTGCGCTCGTACCTGCAGTCAAACTGCTACACACTGGACCTCGGTACGCTCATTCTCTACATCTACCAGCTCAGCACGGCCCTCTCCTACCTGGAGAGCAAAAAGATCGTGCACAGGTAACGGATGCACGCTCCTATTTTGGTGTAACTTTTTTAAAAATATTTGTGTTTGAAAGGTTTTGCAAATATCGTTCAACATGATCATCGTCGGCATAATCAGCCGTGGCCAATCCAAAACTGGATGAAGTCCTCCCCATGCTGCAACCATCTCTCGTGATCCTGCGATGTAATAGTCCACCTCGTCTCTGCACACTCGCTGATTTTCTTGCTCCGTCTCCTTGGTGGACGTCCTCCTTTATATATTTATTGCTTATTTTTAAGTCCAAACTTGCAAGGGCACCTTTTAGTTTCTTAAGGTATTTTGTAATATTGTTTTTCTTGGAAAAAATATGCAACGTGTGTGCATTTTTATTTAACTCAGTTATTTGGTTCTAGAATGAAGTGATAAGTGCGGTGGTGAGTGCACTATGTATGTATGTTGAATTTCTTTCGCACCGTACATAGCCAACCGCGCAACAAACTGATGCTAAATCCCGGCCACGACTAACATCGGTGGCGGGTGATATCTGCCCCTCATCCTGAGCCTCCCCTTCACCACCAACCCGTGTCGTCAAAAAAACGATCTCCGTGACCAACACGGCGGGGAGAGATGCCTTTATCAAGCGGTGCATTGAGAATAATAACTACAATTGGTATTACTCGCAGCAGCAGCAGTAGACATTGTCCCCGGCTCGCAAGGCTGATGCCCGCTTGCAGGCTGGGTGCCGAGTCAGCTTGTGCTGCCACTGGGTGGTGCCCTTTCAAATGTTTTGAAATCGCGTGGAAGAGTGCTCTCGAGACTTGCCCAGTGGCATAGGGCAGTCTGTGAAAAAACGAATCGCTACCCTTATAAAAGGAGCCACACATTTAGTTTAGTCGTTTGATTACCTTTCCTAATCGTGTTTTTGTATTGTTGGAGCATTGTGACCCGCCTCGATTGGACATCCGAGACAAAGAGCTTTATAGCTCATTGTATTCGTGGTAGCGAGATGTTATGTCCCTCGCCTGATATACTGGAGGTTGTCAGTAGTTCGATCCCGACTGTATATTTGGAGTTTGCAAATCTCTCTCCGTGGTCGCGTAGATTTTTCTGTGGGTCCTCCGGTTTTTCCCTCCACATTTAGAAGCACGCATTTCTAAAATTTGGATACTGTAAATTTCCACATGATAAGCCTCTTCTTTGAGCTATCATTTGTGGCCAGGTCGCTTCCGAAAAAGAGCTAAATAGCTCGGTGGGCCTTACCTGGTAAAGTCGAAATCATTTTAGGATTCCTCCTCCAGCATAAATACATACTCTGATGATTCTGACACTTGACGAGTTTGTGTCTTGCCTTCGCCACACCAGAGACATTGCGGCGAGGAACGTGCTGGTGTCGTCGGCGGACTGCGTGAAGCTCGCCGACTTTGGGCTGTCGCGGCACATGGAGGACGACACCTACTACAAGGGTACGGGGCGAGCGTCCACACCGAGACCACACCGTGTCTGCACCACGGTTACTCGCTCTGCGCTGTGTGCGCCTCCTTTTCCTTCCTGCGTGTCTGCCGTTGCCTGCATCGTTGCATTGGCTGTTTGTGGCAAGATGTTAACTCCCTCGCCTGGTATGCAGAAGGTCGTGGGTTTGATCCCTACCCCTGACGCCTGCTGTATATTAGGAGTTTGAATGTTCTCCCCGTGGTCGCAGGAATTTTTCTCTGGAACTCCCTTCTTGTTGAACACCCTACCATTGGATATTGGGCTCTCAGATATTTTTGTTGATATATTAAGTCCTGACTAAATGCACATCTGTTTGCAATAGCTTTCTTAAAATTGACTTTGTTCCTCTCGGCCTCCTATTTGCCCCATCCGTTTTCTTCTTCATTATCTTTGTCCTTACGCCTTGAAACATGGTGAAAAGGCAGCGAATACGCGACAACAATTATTATTTTTACCATTAGTATGCCTCCGCGTGCGGCGGGTTGTTGACTGCCTGCTGCCGGCGGGGGAACGCCCGACGGGGTGCCCATTGCCCGCCCGGTCAAAGGAGCGCGACTCCGTTGATGATGAATTGCGAGGTGCAGAGAGCCCTCTCCATTGCGATTTCGGGTTCGTGGCCCACCCTGGCGTTGGGCACGACGCCCGACGTTGAGCTCCGAGGCGGGGGTGGGGGGTGGCACTGAATTCGGTTCCTCAAGTGAAACATCCGATGACACAGCTGAGCAGGCCTAGTGATTGCGAGAGGCCTCCTGCTGGCTCCTGGTCGATTACGTGTACGTAGGTCGTACGTCGGGTTGTTAAGTAACATTTTTTTTCTTAAAGCGTAATCGATCATCGCACTCAAAAAATCCGATGATTAATTCATCATCGGCGTGCCGAAGATCTAGTTTTAGCCCAATGGTTTTATTTTCATGGATGTATTATTTAACGTTCTGCACTTTGTTTCTCAAGGTCTCCTTTGGGATAAATAAGCTACTTTTTCAAAATAACGAACTAAAATATTAACACATTTAAAAAAATGTTTTCACAGCCTCCAAAGGGAAGTTGCCGATAAAGTGGATGGCTCCTGAATCCATAAATTTCCGAAGGTTCACCTCCGCAAGTGACGTCTGGATGTTCGGTAAGCTGGCATGTTGATCGAATGTAATAACTCGGATTTTTTTTCATTGGTTCATGACTTTCCATGTGTTCCTCAACTGGGAATACTGGCGCCTTAGCCCCTACATGACTATACGGGACGTCTGTTAAAACATTACCAAGCTGCAGCGTGGACAAAATTCTCTGGCACGTGTTGTGACGGGTACTGCAAGATCCGACCGTGCCCGTCCAGTGCTCGCCTAGCTGCATTGGCTTCTGGTTGCCCCACGTATACATTACACTCATTACACAAAGTGCCTGCCACAAATAAACCACAATACCTTGCTGATCTAGTCAAGGAGCATAAACCATCACGCGAACTCTGATCATCCTGGAAGTGGCTTTTGGCTAGCCATCGAGCTAAGACGGTCACCGCATCAAACGCTTTTAGATGTGCTTCTGTGGCTGTCTGGAACGCTCTTCCTTCCAATACTTGGAAGCCACTGGAGCTATGCATTTTTAAATTTGCATTGAAAACTTTCTTTTTTAATGCTTTCTGTGTTTAATCTTGATTTAAAGCTTTCGTGACTGCAGGAATCCATACTCTTTGGTTCTTTTGGTAAAGTCACGTAGAAAGAAACGTCGTGATCTGTTATTTTTTTTATTTTTTATTTCTACGTGACTTTACCGAAAGAACCAAAGAGTATTTTCTGTGGTTAGTTTGTTGTCCTTTCCCCCGGACCTCCGATTAGCACGGTTGGCTACGTTCGTTCCGAAAGTAGTTCAACATACATACATACATACGTGAATAGGCATGACGTTTTGACTCGCAATAAGATGAGTACAAGCTTCGTCGGCCAAAGCCAATCCAGCCCTTGCTGTCATTTGCAGGTGTGTGCATGTGGGAGATCCTCATGTTCGGAGTGAAGCCCTTCCAGGGCGTCAAGAACAACGACATCATCGGGCGCATCGAGAATGGCGAGCGGCTGCCCATGCCCCACAACTGCCCGCCCACGCTCTACAGCATCATGACCAAGTGCTGGTCCTACGACCCCAGCAAGCGGCCGCGCTTCCTCGACCTCAAGCAGCAGCTAAGGTGTGCGGGCGTGCGCTTGTGTGTCGGTGGGGAGCTGTACTGTCACGGTTAGCACGCTGCGCTACGAACCTGGCGACACGAGTTCGATTCCTGCTCATGGCCAACACCGCTGACGATTATCTGAACCGATCCTGGGCCCTCCCCTACGTTGACTAAAATGAGTACCTAGTGCGGTGTGCAAACATCGCCACTGTACATGCACACGTACGTCATCAGATTGGGAAAGGGTTAACAACGATGCTATAACGTAGCCGTGCGTTAACGGCACCACGGTTTGTAACTGACCCACGCTGGCATTCCGTGAACCGCACGCTTGTGGCCTTGCTGGGTGCAGCGACATCTACGAGGATGAGAAGACCCAGCAGGAGGACCGACAGAAGAGGGATCATCGGCGGATAGCGCCGCCCTGGACAGCCGGAGGGGCCGACGAGGCACCCCCTAAAGTGAGAGCATTTGAACCTCTTTTCCTCGCCAGGTCTCGGCTATATTTATTTCTGCAGGGACCATCTTAACCTTTGACTGTGGAACATCTCCCGCGCATGCCTTCGTCGCGTCTTGCCTTGGCTGTTGCAGCCCTCTCCTCTGTGGTCTCCCCGAGTCCGACGTACGCCTCCAACTCCCAAATGATACAAAATGCAGCCACTTGGCTGTTTACTAAATTGATCTATGAAACCATTTTTTTTAATTTTACCAGCTAAGGACCACTGAGCTCTTAGCTCTTTTTCAGAAGCGACCTGGCCACAAATGACAGCTCAACGAAGTGGCTTTTCACGTGGAAATTTATAGCAGCCAAAAATACTCTAAGCACATGTTGATTTTAAATGAAGAGGGAAAAACCAGAGGACCCGGAGAAAAATCCACTCGACCATGGGGAGAGACACATGCAAACTCCGCAAATACATGCATCAGGGTCAGAATTGAACCCACGACCTCCTACATACCAGGTGAGGAAGTTAACATCTCACCACCGTGGCCCCATATCCAAGATTACTCTGCCCGAAAACTCAAATCCTTCCACTAGCTCTCAATGCAATCCCAGATAAATATGAAGATTGAACTCGCCATCTTCAAGATTCTCCTCCCTCCTCTTACCTCACTCTACTCTCCTCCACTTACTCTCCACTCAAGCAACCAAGCCTTTAAAACATATTTTTGTAGCCAATGCAATGACATTCAATTCATATCTCCAGTCAACCTCTGTTCAGTGGGAGATCGTTTATTCTCCTATGCTGCCCCCTGGTCTAAAACTCCCTTTCCCCTCGCCGTCCGTGCTGTCAACTTCCTGTCCTTGTTTAAATCCAGGCTCAAGACCTACCTTTTTTTCCTCTGCGTGTGACTGGCTGCCTGTCTCCCGCGTGGGCACAGCACAGTATCAAAGTCGTTACTGTATGGAGATATTTTCTTTAAATGTATTGGGTTTTTTTTCCGCGTATAACTAGGTGCAGTTCTAGACAATGTGTCGTTTGCATTTTGGGAGCTGATCGATGGGAAATCAAAAAACAATTGCAGCAAAAACAGCAGCCTCCACACTCTGACTTTTGTGTAAATGCCAATTTCCCCCCCCCCCCAGCTATTTTCGGCTTTCAAAACTCAAGTGTCTGTTTTTGTACGACGCATATCTGTGTATTTACACTTGAGCAGTTTCCATCAATTCTCCCGGCGTCTAGCAGCCACTCTCTAGTCATTTTTTTAAACCTATTTTATTTTACCAGGTATGGTCCCCACTGAACGATTTAGCTCTTTTTCACAAGCCACCCTGGCCACAAATGGTAGCTCAACGATGTGGCTTATCATCGCGTGGAAATTTATAGCAGCCAAATATAAACACATGTTGATTCTAAATGCGGAAGGAACAACCGGAGGGCCTGGAGAAAATCCACGTGACCACGGGGAGATAGACATGAAGACTCCAAATATACAAGTGTCAGGGTCGGGATCAGACCCACTATCCTGTATGCCAGGCGAGGGAGATTACATCTCGCCACTGCGGAGCCCCTAGTTGTCACGGACTACCAATTCATTAATTATAGCGACTGTTTAATGTTCATGCCTCTAGCTGTAAACACGAGCAAAAAAAAGAAAAGTTTTTTGTTGGTTTTATAAGTGAGTGGGCGAGTGAATGAATGAATGAACGCTTTAAATTTCCAGCCAAGCAGACCGGCGTTTCCAGGAGGTCGAGTGGTGGACATGTCCCACGGGAGCCCAGTGCACCCCCACATGAACCATCACCAGGTACGCTCACTCACGGTCACGATTGTAATATAAATGTAAAAAAATATATGAACGTGGTCTTTGGGGCTAAACCGCGCGACGGGCAATTTAATTTCTCAAGCTTTCGCCACACACAACTACGTGCATATTTTGACTCAAGCGGTTCGTTTGACCTGTGGTGAAATTATCGATGAGGTTGTTGTTGTCGGCCTGTAACTTCCCAATCCTGGGAAAGGGCCTCTCCTGTTTTCTTCCGTTGCTTCCTCTCCTTCGTTGTTCTTGTTCAGTCGCAGCCTCCGAATTCTCTAGTTTCATCTCGCTTCCGTCTCTTCCCGCGTCTTCCTCTGCCTTCTCTCGCTATGTTATCCTTTGTCAAATTGATTTTTTTCTCTGTGGTTTAGGCGATGAGTTTAAGAGGAAGAGGACTCTCCCCCACCCCCCAAACTAATGAGTCAACCCAGACCCTGAATTGTATCGAGGGTCTAAACATTAAATGATGTTCAGCTGTTTTTTTAAGCCGAAGACGCCTGTAGTGGAGCACGTCTGATAACCCCATAGTCCACGCGTGACGATTATAATCCCGTGCGTTTACGCTTCTGGGAAATAATTGTGTGGAAGCTGACCATAGTTGTTTATCAGCAGTAGCAGCCCCTTCTTGATGCGCAAACTCCTGCAGCAGATTGCGCACTTCAATTGGCGGTTGACGTTTGGAGTAGACTGCAACCCTCAAAGGAATGGCGCCACCCCCGTGATCCGTGGATCAAACAAATTACTCGAGATGCCGGGGTATGGCAGCAAGAGCGGCTTACGTGAATGCTGTTGCAAGAGGTTACACGCTTGACGCAACGGTCCTTGGCCGACTGTGCTTGATGAATGAACAGCAGCAGCAGTTTGCAAAATCTGTTGCATCCCGTAGGCGGTGGGATCCTCGGTGGCGATGCCAGCTGTGGCAGGGCCCATCTACCAGAGCACGGGTCCCCTGAGTGACACCTGGATCCAGCCACACTCGGGCGAGCTCTCGCCTGCGCGCCCCATCAGCAGCGAGGTGCGTTATGGTGCCAGCGAACGTAGGGCGGGGGGGATGGGGGGGTGTTTGGCGAAGGAAGACACGGCAACAAAAATACGAACGGCTCTTACATTCGTGTTTGGCGAAGGAAGACACGGCAACAAAAATACGAACGGCTCTTACATTCGTAACTACGTAATAATTGTGGACTTGTCCTTGGAGGGAATATAAGTAACAAAGTAAATAAGCAGGCATCACCGCCGTTTTCCCATATTTGTCTCTGCATGTGAAAGTATTTATTGTGCACCGCATCATTCCAAACATTCCCCGGGCAGTGAATCCTGTCACCTGCATTTGTTTACCTTGATAAAGTGAGTGATTCTGGGAGCTTCACAGCAAACACAGATGCACACATTGAGCAGCGTTCAGCTCAGTGCCCAGCTCTCCGATGTGTTTTCGAGTTGCGGGTGTTTGGCACGACTTCCCGACGTTTCGCTCCTCGCTTCTGGCAGCTTCTTCCGAAACTTCGGACATCGTGGCGAATAAAACGCTGTGCTACCCCAACAAAAACATGTCGGGATAGCCATGCAGCACAAACGCGAAAATCTATGAGGCGCCTAATATTGAGCAACGTATTTTCTCTACCGGTAGTCCTACGACGGACCGGAGCATGCTCGCCGGGTCATGGAGCTGGAGCAAGCGCTGCTGGAGCAACGGCTGCATCAGCAGCAGCAGGATATGGTCGCCGACGAGAAGTGGCTGGAGAACGAGGAACGCCTTCTGGTACAAGCTCTGCCCTGCTTCGCTCGAATGCATGGTTGTATGAGCAAAATCTTTTGGGGGCCAGGGAAGTTTGGTGCGCATTGGTTATCGACTTCGGATGTTATCTTCTAAATTAGATGTCACATTGTTGCAAGGGGCACCACGGTGGCGAGATGTTAACTACCTCGCCTGGTATACAGGAGATCGTGGGCTCGACCCTGAAGCCTGCTGTATATTTGGAGTTTGCATGTACTCCTCGTGGTCGCGTGGATTTTTATCCGAGTCCTCTGGTTTTTCCCTCCACATTTAGTATTTGGTTGGTATAAATTTCCACGCGATAAGTCACTTCGTTGTGCAACAATTTGTGGCCAGGTCGCTTCTGAACAGGAGCTGTCAGTGGGCGTTACCTGGTAAAATAAAAAAAAATAGTTTCGTTTAACATGGGGTCAGCTCCTCAGATTTTCTTTCTCCACGCGCTTCTATTCTGCGCCTTTTCTCGAGCCACGTCCACTGTCCTCATATCCAGTTCCACCACGTCCTCCCCCCTCACCCTCGGTCTCCCTCTGCTCCCCGAGCTGTGTACCGGTGTCATCTCCATTGCCCTTCTCGTTGTACCTCGTTTGTAGTTTCTCAACAAATTCCCGCACCATCTAAGTCCAGCCTCCCCAAACCTTCTTGAGAATGGTAATAATTCCCGTTAAGGCTGGACGTTGTCTTAAGTCTAATTATACTCCAAACTCAAGGCTAAAGCACAACCTTGTCTGGATACTTGCTATTTATAGGTTGCGTGCAATGCCATGCAGACTTCCCTATTTGCTGGGTGTCAGGCTTGTCTAGAGACTGCAGTAATACATTCTGTTCAGCACTGTGTAGCTTATGATTCTCGACAAGAAACGAGTGTGAGCTGGACTGGAATCTCCCCCTTCTTCTTGTAGAGTCTGTAGTTAAACCAACACGTTGTTGTTGTTATTTTCGTTTTGTGGCAGTTTTTTTTACAAGCATTAGCTCTGTCCGTCTGCCTTTAACTTTGGGGCGCGGTAACGCACATCATGGTGATCCAATAAGAACGGCGCTTGTTTGCATAAAGTTGCGTTGCACTTAGGGGGACCGACCGTGTCGAGAAATCCGGCGATATCGACTCAAGGCGTTTCCCACGTCTCCCCGGGCGAGCCCCCGCTATCCGAGCCTTGCCATCTCGTCGTGGCCTCCAGACGCGCTGCTTCCTTGCGGGGCCTCGCGTGACAGCAAGCGTCGTTGCCAGCGGTTACATTCTGCCCTGGACAAACACACGTTGGAAAGTGTTACAGAATCCATGCGCACGCATGGTTTTTCTTTCTCGTTAAATCAAGATTTTCTTTCTCCAGAAACCAGATCACTGGACGTCCCGGAACAGTGACGGCCTTCACGACAGCGGATATCGCGGAATGGTGCTGTGACCTGACTTGACCCTAAACAATCACCCAGTGCAGTCAACTCCCGGTTTACCCGCAGATTATATCCGGGTTGCGGATTAATCGTGTTTGCGACAAATTTTTTTTATGTTCACGTGCCGGTTTCGTTGTTAGCCGCTCCTCACTCGTTGGGGATCAATGGCCCGATGCACACTTAGTTCCCCAGATCGAGCGAGCAAACCGATTACTCTTAAGAAATAATAAGAACAGACGGCAACACTGTCTTCCCATCCCCCCATTATACGGAGGTAAATGGATTAAATATTGTTTGACACCGTAAAATTACGCATGTTTTGGCATTCATCCGTGTTTTAGTTGGGCCACCCCCTCCTCCTTGTTACCCCGAACAATCGGGCTGTAAATTCATTTTCAACCTTATTTTATTTTGCTCTCTCTGCTATGAAGAACGGCCGTTGCTCCAAACATCGGCTATTATATATTTTCCTCTTTAGGGCAGCCTTATTGACTGAACGTGTCAAGGTTCTGTTATTTGTGCTCGCGCATGACCGCCGACGCAGTATCACACCTATCTTTTTTCTTGTTTTGGGTTTTAAATGCTTTGTTTATATTTCACCGATTTATTGTTTCGAACGTATGCTTTGCAACAGAGCTCCGAACACCAACCCGTCTATCAGCCAGTGGGTAAACCCGGTGAGTAGTTCATTTGTCATGCATCCGGTTTAATTTCTGAACAGTTTTATAAGTGTGAATTTCTCAAAACTCGACAGTTTTTACGTTTATAATGTGTGTTATATTCCTTTATGGGTCACAGTGGTTATACAATATTGGCACAAGTTGCTCAAAAAAACCTCAGGCATTGACCTATTTAATGGCCACATAGAAATGTACAGTTTCCACGCATTTCACTTAACGCTTGTACAATTATACCCCTCTTAACGACGGTAATTGATTCCACGAAAACGTTCATGAAGTGATTTGGTCGTTAAGCAATTCATGTTTCCACTTCACAAGCGCAGCATACAATGAATGTAAACAATGCCCCAAACGCTCATGAATAGACGTCACTGATTGGACGAGGCCTGGTCAGACCACTTTTGTAGCTCGCCGATTGGCCGACAATGGCGGTCGCGTGCTCGTCGTGAGCCTGTTGTTATCAGGTGAATGGTCGAGAAGCTAACACATTGCGCTCTATGGAGGCCCGTCGTTAAGCGATTAGTCGTTAACAGGGGTGCTCATTAAGAGGGGTTCTTCTGCAATGTGTAAAGATCCCTCGAGGTGTGTAACGTGCCTTGCCGTCAGTGCCCCGCCGTGTTTTCGGCTGACGGTTGGGGACGACACGAGCCTTCTGATTTCAGACCGGACATCTGAGTTTTAAAGAGCTTAGCAGCTCGTCGGATTCCTCCAGTCTTTAATAAAGATGCCGATTCTGAGATGAAGTGAGGTGAACGTGAATGTGGCTCGCCGAGTGTGAAACCTTGCATTCCCTTGGTCGACCATGTCAGAACCACCGGCGCCGCCTAGGAAGCCGCCTCGCCCGGGCGCCCCAACCCACCAGCCCGGCTTACCCGCTATGGTGACCGCCGCCCCCGAAGCCCAGAACGGGGGCCCTAAGGTGAGGGGGGGGGGGGTAGGAGGGGGGGCCCTACCCTTGGCACCACGTGCTCAAATCCCAGCTGCACTCAGTTGGGGATGACAACTACCTGCCTGACAGTCTCAGTTACAGAGAAGGGATTTGCATTTGAATGGAAAACTTGTTTAAATTCCTTGGCCTAACATCTCGACCAAACCAATGCTGCCCTGCTGCAGGCTCTGGCATAGGGGTACTACCAGTGGCAGCTGTCTCAATGTGGCACAAAGGTGTACTCAGCACCACCCTGAAAATGGGCATTAGTCTGCCAGTAGGGGTCGATGTTGGTACGTTGTGTTTTTCATTGAAGCAATTTGCGAGTTATCGATCAAATCTGGACCGTGTCACCATCATACAAGGCCTTTTCAAATGATGCCACGGAATCAGTAAACTACGCTGCGTAGCAGACGGCGTGAACCCCTGCAACACGCAGCAAGCATGCGACGACCCCGCCACGTCACCGCAGCGCGTGCCATGGGCCTTTCATCATCATCAGCCCCATCCACTACTGGGCGAAATTCCTTCCCACGCCATCACCATCGCTCACGGTCCCAGCACTGCTACCATCCATCTCCGGCATGTGAAGTGATCCAATTCCTCTCCCTCCCTTAGCCGCCGCCACCCCTGGTGTCACCCCATTCTCATCCATCGGCCGTCGTCCCCCCTCCAGCCAAGTGTCCCCCGGCCGAGCCCAATTGCCTAGTTGTCAATGTGACGTCTTTGATTTGTGCTTGTTACCAGAGCACGGTGACTTTATTGCTTATCAATCGCGAGGTCCTCCCGATGGATTTTGCTCAAGCTGTGCGTGCGGTGCATGAGGCCGGTTTGTTCCCGTGCCTTCCTGTGCTCACAAGAGCTGCAACAAATGCAGTAATTTCATCAATTTGAAGTAATTTATTCAAGAGCCAATCTTCACTGTTCAGTCTATAGCGCCACCTCCCACCTCCGCTCCCCTCCATCAAAGCGGTGGGCGAGAAATTATTCTTTTGTCTGTCGATAAGCATCCTAATTTCACGAAACATTTTTTATGCTGGCAGCAATTCATCTGGGATTGACTTTAAGGTCAAGAGGCCAACAGTGCGAGTTTCGAGTGCTGTCTCCGAATATATTTCCTCGTAATATTCTCGTGAACTCTGACCTACCTCATGAAAATTTCAATATTCCAGTGCCACAATCAAATTCAATTTGGATTTTTTTTTATTAAAACGTGCAAACACCCCCCCCCCCCCATAATTGTTACCAAGAACATAGAGGTTTTTAAAATGTTGTCTTTTTGAGCGTTGTCTGCTAAGGCACAATTTTGCACACGAGCACACACGTGCACACACACAATGTCCCTATTCCTTGGGTTTGCGTTTACCCTAGTTTGGCTTCACATCTGAAAATAGCTTTCGGTTTCACGAGTAATTTGCCTTACAAGGCATTTGGCATCACTTAATGAAATTACTTGGAATTGACGTGGGAGACTTTGGCTTCCAAATGTTGCAGGCTCGGTGACGTTGCGGCTGCCGTGCAGGCCTCTCGACAAATTAGCTTTTCGGTCAATTATTCCTCTGCGATGTGTTTTATGGTTGTTCGCTGTCATGTCCGTTTAGCTCCCGAGCTTTTTCAGGAACTGAACTGTCGAACGGCACGCGGTACAAATCCCGTTGGTTGCAGCTTGCTGTCCCTTTTTTGCGCTTCATCAGTGTTGAGATTTTGGCTCGCAAAATCTCTTGGCATTGGATGCTCGACAGATCAGAACAAGATTGGCAATTGCTTTTGGAATATTCTTTCACATTTGTGGGAATTCAAGGTGGACGGACACGAACGACAATTTATGCAGAATGGCAGCAGTTGATATGACACGGCAGCAGCAGGGTCTTGTAAACTGGGATTTAAAGTACGTAGGTTTGCTTTCATGCAAAACACTTCGTAAGAAAATGTGAATGTTTACAAAAGGATATTCCGAACAAATGAATTACAAGTTGTAACATTTTAATTATTTTTACCCTTTGCATGAGCATTATGTTTTAATTGCTTTTCTAATCCCAACATTTTCTATTTTACAATGCATGTCATCAGCTATGCTTCGTGCTCTCTGGCCGGGTGGTTACGTTTACTGGGCTAACGCTCAAACATGCCGACCTTTTAATGACGTCCACCTGCATCTGTCGCCGTTGAATCGAGCTTGTTTTTCTCGTGTTTGTGCAAATTTTACGCAAATGCCCCTGTCTGCCCGTGACTAATGTTAAATTATATTTTCTTTTATTTTGCTCTGTGCCGCTGCTACCGATATCTGCGTGCCTACCAGCTCTGGAGGGTAAGCTGAGAGCCGTGTGTTGCTGTGCGCTGCTTTGTCCTGACGTGGCCCTTTCATTGTTGTGGGTCATTTTGACCTTGCTCCTATTTTTGAGCTTTTTAGCAATAGTTGTGCATGCTCACCACTCTTATAGCAACTAACAGCCGCTTTTATGTTTTGATGCAGCATGTTGTTTCCGACCTGTATAGCCCACGTGCTTGCTCCTCCCCTAGCCTTGCTTTTGAATGTGAATACAATAAAAAACGTAGTTTAAGTCGTGTGCTTCTATCGGAAGCCGCCTTTGGACTTCTTAACCAGAGTAAGAATGTGTGACTCGTATGAGGACTGTGCTTATACAAGGTGTGATTATATCTAACTTTCACTGTATTTAATCAGTTAGTGCCCACCCCCTCCCCATAATGAACAGAGAGATGACAGACAGCTTAATGCATAAATACTCTCAACCCTAGTTGGAAAACATTGAATAACATAGACGAATAGGCGTTACATAATCACGCGGACATTACGCAGAGCTCATGGCGTGATTTCCTTCTTGTCACGCATTCACGAGGAGTTGAGTTGCCCCCCTCTACCCCCTGCACTGCCCCCCCCCGTGCGCCCCACCAGAGTTACAATCGAAACGTCGTGCGCGTGTGACTCAGACCCCCCCGCAGGAGATCACGCCACCCCCCACGGCCGACCTGGACCGCACCAACGACAAGGTGTACGAGAACGTGACGGCCCTCGTCAAGGCCGTGCTTGAGATGTCGGCCAAGATCCAGCCCGCCGCGCCCGACGAGTACGTCGCCATGGTCAAGGTGAGGGCGCCGACTCGCCGCGAACGCACTCGGCGGTGCGGTGTGTAACGCGTGCTGCTTGCGGTGTGCCGCTGTCGTGCGACGGGACTCGGGTGCGAGCGTCGCACCGCACGTGACTGTGTCGCCGCTCTCCGCAGGACGTGGGGCTGTCGCTGAGGACCCTGCTCGCCAGCGTCGACGAGGCGATCCCCACGCTCCCGTCCTCGTCTCACAGAGAGGTGCGTGCCGCGGCCGCCTTCCCATTTGCAAAGTTGGCGGGGTGCCCTGAACCCCAGTGACTTGAACCCGGAGACTTGAGTTTGCACAGCCTAGGACAACATCGGTGGTGAATGATATCTGAATCGGTCCTAGCCTCCCCCCACCTCCAATCCCCCTCTCCCCCTTCACCAACCTGCACTGACCAGCGTGGTGAAGTACGGTCAAACAACTGCTAGGACCAACACGACGTGGGAAGGCATTTGTCCAGCAGTGGATTGACAAAGGACCGTCAATATTTCTAGTTACCCTAACCATTCTGCTTACAGTCTGTCTCGGATGACACGAAGAGGTCCACGTGCTTACCAACAGATTTTGAAAAGCGTTGGTGGTATCGGAGACTTGAGTGGGAACCGGCAGTGCGGTGGTTCGTGCATTGCGGTCCAATCCCACCAATGGCTATGCTTATCAGTCCATGGCTTTGTGATATCTGAATGTTTTCTTTGGCCTTCATTAGGTCGTTTAGAGTATTTTAGAGTAATTTGGCTGCAATACATTTCCACGTGATGATAAGCCCTTTCGTTGAGCTATCATTTGTGGCCAGGTCGCTTCTGAAAAGAGCTACATAGCTCAGTGGGCCTTACCTAATACAATGAAAAATAGTTTTGTTTAGTTTAGGTCCGTTCAGCCTGAAAATTAGTACCTGGAACGGTATATGAACATCCGCCTCAAGAGTTGCTCGATAACAGCACTTGCCCCTGTGGTCGATGAGGAAAACCGGGGAGCCCTGTGTTGCACGAGTGACAAGTTGTATTCAGGTCATTGGCTATTAAGTCGTTCCATAATTTACCGTCATTGTTACACTTGATGCAGCAGCTGTGGTGGGAGCTTCCTTGGCTTGGCCCATTTGGCTCATGATTTTATATATATCATGATTGCCTAGCATAGACCCACATGCCCAAATCGCCAAGCAATCAGCAACAATGTATGGGTACGTATGTTGAACTTCTTTCGCACCGTATGTAGCCAACCATGCTAGCCGGAGGTGTGAGACAACACGAAAGAAGGCATAATAGATAAGAGTTAATACTTGTCTTGAAATCGAGGTGTAAGGGTGGTGTGTTGCCGCCTATGCCGGGATGCGCAGGTGGAGATGGCGCAGAAGGTGCTCAACTCGGACCTGGCCGAGCTAATCGGCAAGATGAAGCTGGCGCAGCAGTACGCCATGACCACGCTGCAGCACGACTACAAGAAGCACATGCTCACCGCCGCGCACGCGCTCGCCATGGACGCCAAGAGCCTCCTGGACGTCGTCGACCAGGCGCGCATCCGCCTCATGGCGCCGGTCGCGCCCGCCGGGGGCGCCCGCTGGTGATGGCGCTGGTCTCGCCCGGCCGACACCCTCCCCCCGCCGAGACTCTGCCCTCCCGGCGATCCACGCAAGAGCGCCGGTTTGAAATCTTCCTCGGCTGGCATCGCCGATCCGCATATCTATCAAGGGCCCCACCCCCCCCCCCCGCCGTCCACCACCACCAACGCGGAGGCTTATTTTTAATTTTTAGAACAATCGATTTCCTCTCCGTCACTCATTTCTGCCGCGGAGTCGTACGGGCGAGTCGTCGGTCGGTTCGTGGCTGTTGGCTGGTGCCCCCAGGGGTCGCCACTGGTCCAGTCATTGCGCCGGCAAAGTGCCGCCGATTCGGTTCCAGTGACGGTGACCCGTTACGTGCTGCCGACTCGCGGCGGGCGGTTGCCTACCTGGCCCTTGGGGGGCGGGGGGTGGTTGGACGATGACCCCCCCCCCCGAAACTGTTGCTACAACCGTACCAAAAAAAAAAGTAGCGACCGGCTTGTGACGCGCGGACGCTGTCGTTCGTCGTCGTCACGGTGCGTGCGTCGGGGCTGGGGACGTCGGCTGCGCTCGAGTCCATTGAGATTCACTACCGCTCCGTGAGAGAAGTGGCCCGGGGGGGGCACCTTCTTGCTAATGCGAGCAAGGGGGAGAGAGGTGGGCGGTGTGCCGGCGTTCGCAAGTGACGACGCTGTGAGATTTTGTTTCGGGGTGGGGGGGTGGGCTGGGTGGGGTGGTGGAGGTGGGAAAGAAAAAAAACGTTAACGCCTCGCTGTTGTGAATCATTACCTTGCATGGTAACGCTCGGCCTGGCTCGTACGCTCGCTCTGCGACGTTTGACGCCAACCCGGCAGCTTTCCGGGTTGGCACAGGGGGACGAAAACCTCCGCATGACAAAGGCGGCGGTACGCCCAGGGAGGAGGGCGTTTCGTGCGGGGTGGTGGTGGTGGTGGTGGGGAGTGTTGGCCTGGGCGAAAGAACAAAACTGCAACAACTGCAGTGAGTCCGTTACCCAATTAACGGCGGTGTCTTTCTTTACAAAACATAAAGGGAACAAATTAATGTGGGTAAGAGTGTTGACGGTTTAACATTAGCAAGGAAGTCTTGTGCACGACTCTGCATAGGCTTAAGTACTGTTTGCATGTTAAGAAAAGAGCTACACCCATTATTATTATTATATCCTGTATAGCAGTGGCTTATACGAATCATTTATATACTGTAATGCAAATGTAATTGGAAGTGCTCGTGTACTTGCTCTTCCTGAAAGCAGGTCTGCTAACCAAATGTTACTCAACAAACTGTCTCTTATTGGGGGGGAGGGGGGGGTTTGTTGGTTGTTATAATTAAGTGATATCATTTTCTTGCAACACTGGTGTTCGCAGGGGGTGTGCGCTAACCTACATTTTAGGTTCTGTTTCCAAACGGCTGTCATTTGCCAATGCAGCGATTGGTACTCGAGTCGTCAAAACATAGGGTGTTTGTGTCTGTTGTACATTTTATAAAGTCCTTTTTGTACAAAAACTCAGCGTTAACCAGCTTAGTAACAAATTCTGCAGCCGGTTTTCAGGGCGCGTCTTTTCACAATTTGAGTGAACACTATTCATTGATTCCGCCCCCCCCCCCTCCCCGCCTCCTTCTGACCGTCTTTCACAGATGTCGACTTACGTTACCGCCCGTTAACCATTTAGCCATGCAATCTGTGGCCAAACGGCTTACGGGTGGCAACCGTTGTACCATTTTTAACCGGCATGCGATGCACACCAACGCCCAACTTTGTAGTCCCTGCTGCCCGACGTTCCCACGCGTCTGCTCGCCTCCGACTTGCGCAAGCCTTCTACCGAAATGTACGACGTTTGGCATTGGATAATAGAACATTAAATATTAACTTTATTCTCGGCAGCTGTAACAGTATTCACACTGGAATCGCTTTCTTTTTCCCCCCCCCTCCCCCTCGCTCTCACGGCACCGCCCGAGGGGGGCGATTACTCTCGGCGGCACAGCTTGCCGCGCAGAGAGCGCTCGCGGTCGGTCCTAGCCTCTGACGGCGGCCTTTTATCGACGTTTTGCTCTTCTGAAACGACAAGGCGGGAACCCCGCCGCTCATGCCCACAGTTCCACACGCAGTCGCGCTTGCGCCGTCGTTATGCACGAGTGTTGTGAGCTTAGCGCGATGACGGGTTGTTGTTGTTGTTGTGGTTGTCGGTGCTCTCTGTAGTCTGGCGGGCCTGTCTTCTGGGTCCGCTGTCACGGCAAGCACTGAAACACGGCTGTTACGTGGCGGTTATCTTGCTGTGTCTGCTATTTACTTTATATCCCGCTTCTGCCACAGGAGAATGTAGAAGAAGTTCATTAAATATTTGTTTTCTTCTCATAACTGTATATTTGCATTTTTAAAGAATTGACTCTAAATATATGTTCCCTTTATTCGAGAATCCAGGTAAATTATAATAGATGAATATTCTCTGGTAGAATATGAGATGTACAGATTATGCCTGGAGGGCCTGCCAGGCCACATCCCATAAGTTTAGCCAAACTCCCATAATTTTGTCATATATTTGGTGCTTTTTTTTTGCTTTGTACATTGGTTCCAGGATTCTGACTGCACGGCTCCATTTTGAACAATGACGGAAAAACGCGCCCATGGCAAACGCAGCGCCATCGCCGTTCCCCTGCAGACAGGCCGTCGATGCTGCGCTGCGTGCACTGTGACTCGCCAAACTCTCAGTGGGCTTTGCAAATGCTGTGTTTGTCGACTGCCCTTGGTGACACGAGTTGGACTAGAGGGATCTTTGTGTTTTTTCTGGCCATTATAAAGTGCGTATTAACACTTATTTCCCCTACCCCCCCCCCCACACTCGAATGACGTTACCCCTTGCCGATACGCGAAAATGTGATATACAGGGCAACGTTAACTGCGTTCAATCACAAACGGATTCAGAATTCTCTTATGTAAAAACTGCTCCGCATATCAAATGCTATTATCCAATGTAGCTAACAGCTCACATTTGTTTTACTTCGTCGCACCGCTGTAGAGAAAGCATTTTATATCGCGGGAGGTTCACCATGACCCAGCTTTCAGCATGGGGGGGGGAGGTGCATGGTTGCATTGTTGAAATCAAATGTCAGCTGTGAATGGGCGGTCCATGTAATGTCGATAATTGGCTTGTACGGCATGGTTCTTGGTGTTGCAACTGGCGGTGATGGTCGCACCAGAACGAGGTGCCCTTTCCTAGATTTCTGGAGGGACGCCTGCAACGCTTTTGATGATGATGATGAAGAAGGGCATGGGGCGCTCTTAACTTTGAAAAACAATCGCGTGGCTCGGCACCTGGTTCAGCCTGAAGAGAGGAGTCTTGATTGTGCCGTGTGAACGATGGAATTGCCCCCCTCCCGCTTTGGAAGCAACCCTGGGTTTATCGCATCTTTGGGAGGTGATACCATTTGTAGTCGTCCGGAGTGGGATACTTTTTTTTCCGTCGTTCATTCTAATATTTTTTTTACCTCTAAATCTCACTGTAGTCGGTTGACGTTTTCATGTCCGTACGTTTGGTTGCCATGTATAAATAATCATTTTCTAATAAAAAAAATACAACAACAACAAAAAGAGGAAAGGTGTTCATCTGCTGTCTCGGCGGCTGTCGGTGAACGTGCAGGGCCCGGGGCTGCTCGCCCCACGGGTTCGAACCGATGGCACTGGTTGCAGACACTCTGCAATGCAAAAGGGTTCTCAAAGGAACTTCCGGTTTCCTGCTGAAACTGAGCGTCGAGGTGTTCTCGTCTCTTGTCTGCAGCTCTGAGCCAGTGATGGAAATTCCACAATCTTATGGCGGGGAGGGTGGTGGAGGGAGGCAGTCTGTGCAGAGGACAACGACTTTTGACGACTCCACAAAATCGTAGTTTTTTTTATCGACCCGAGAGGGATGATTAGCTGAGTCAACAAGTTTTCGATTGCAAATTGCCGGCCCTGCAGTTGAGCCTCCTCGGCGGATACATTCATGTGCACACCCCATTGTATCGACTCGTAACCATTATAACTCATAAGCTTACATCATGCGTTGGTTTATTTTACTTTATCTTTGTTAAAATCTTTTATGCAATAAATGTTGCAAACTGATTTCATTAACAAAGGGACAGTGCAGCAAAATCCGTTTGTTGTACCGAGCCGTATCCCAACGTGTGTGCGGCCCACTTTCATTAACCTAAACAGACCAGCGTGGTGAAGTATGGCCATATAAACCACCATGACCTGTGGAGGGCATGGGAGGAGGCCCGCATCCAGCAGTGGATTGACAAAAACGACTGCTTACGCGTACATTACGTGATAATTGCAAACGGTGCCCTTGTAATGGCTTTCCATGTTACGGTGCTATTGATGTTGATTTCAAGATAACTCTAGACGAGTGGCATACGTTTCCAGTGAGTCGTGTTGCAAAAACCTCAGTAAAGTGTCCGCAATACTGAGCGAATACTCAAAATGCTCTGTGCGTTGAGAGCTGAATTTATTATTCTTGCCATCACCGGAGGGATCAAGGGGGGTGGAGGCGGAGGGTTTCCATTTGCACAGCTGAATTGGTTGAGGGCTGTAAATTGGCCGCAAAGGTCACACTGGTCCATGTGATTATCAGACACAATGTCATCGTCACGTGTAGCTGTTTTACATCAAAATATACAGGTTGTGGTCTGGGTGTCGTCTCCATACAAGCAAATAACGAGTGAAACGCTGTTCTGTTTATCCACACGCAAATACAGATGTGGATTAGTCCATCGGGCTACTCACTGGCTTATATAATCAAACCAATATCCATCTGCGTTTGCTTAAGCAAGTAAACTGTGGAATGGTTTCGACATTCTGGGTCTCGTCAACAGGTTTGTTAAACAAATGTTGCGGAGGTTACCAGCTGTTGTTGGCAAGAGCGCTCCACCTAAACTATTGGACCCTGTGCAACGCAAACGGCAAGATTGTCAAGACGGTGTCACGTATCTCTTCGCCGAACCGGGTACTGCTTACAACCATCGTTTTATCATCGTGCATGTTTATCCAGGAAAGGCTCAACTGAGTCTCCAAGACACATTTTCAGGAGGGTCGTGGCAGATTTTTCGCGGCAGTAAATCATGCCGTGCGTAATTCCAATCGAGTCATTTGCAAGTACATGTTTCAGAAATTTGGGATGTTGTGACCAATGCCAATTACGTTGCCTATTTATGTTCAGCTATGGGGAGCAAATCGGTAAACCAAGAGGAAACCCCACACAGCTCTACGCAGAAAGGCTCCCGAGTCGAGAATGTTTCACCCAGAAGCGTCTTGCTTTGAGACACAAGTGTTCGCGCTGTACCATCTTGCCTCGCCTTAATGTTCCACAATAGCGCATCATGCCCAGTAAATACGGATGAAGTGGTGTAGTGGTTAGGGGCACTGCGCTATTGATTCGGTGACCTGAGTTGCTACACTACCGTATATTTCACAAATACTCTTTGGTTCTTTCGGTAAAATCACGTAGGTACCTACGTATGGATTCCTGCAGTCATGAAAGCTTCAATCAAGATATTTCAAAAATGTAACATACCACAGAGATGTAATATACGGCATGAAAATGCTCAACATCTACAGTTCAACACTGCACATCTGACAATTCCCGTTGATGAGCGAGGCATAAGATTCGTTTGTGTCCATGCAGCATGACGATAAAAGCACCTCGTGTTTAAAAAAAAAATGTTATTTGAAGATTTGTATTAAAATAGAAAATAATTAATGATTTAAATACGTGACAAGCAACGATAATTGAATTTGCAAGTGCCCAGTGTGTGTGTGCTCGCGTGGTGATTATTGTATTTGCAGAGTTGAACGCAATATGCAAAGGATTACAAACACGACTCACCTCTGGGTTATAAGCACCATTTGCCTTCGCCGGGCATGCAATTAAACCGTGCCTTTTGTGTGTGTGTTTGGGGACACATTGGGCTATTGTCCAGCTGTAGAATAATAAGAAAAGAGGCGGTGCTATTCTCAATGCGTAAGCTTATTGTTTCTTCTGCGCCGCGTTTTAGAGCCATCGAGTCATTGCGCCCGTGTGTCACGCGAAGATAAGTGTGTTTATGGGTGACCGCAGCTGTGTCGCCCCGGGCCTCATTTCAGGTCATTGCGCCGTCCCGACCGCAGGTGAGAGAAGTGTGCGAGCAGTGGTGACATCTTTAGAATTTTAAAATATATTCATATTTCTTCTAGCGTCTGTAAATTAACCGTCGCACGCGCTAGAGCCGTGTGAGTTTATTTATCCGAAGAACTATTTCACCCGATAGATAGCTCGTTGTAGCTCTTTTTTTAGCCGGGAGCCCCAGCTATGGTCACGTGTCCTGAAGCCACAAACTGCTCCGTTGTTCCTTTCTCAGCCATGGAAATACCCCCACCCATGCCACCTCCATCCAATGATAAAATCATGATTTACATTTATAAAGCGCATCTAATCCATAGATCCCACCAATGCGCCACCGTGTATTGAAAACAGAGAATAAACGGAACCTGCAGGGTAAACGGGCAGGACTATTAGGTTTAAAGAGGTGAGTGATCAAGACGGACTTAACATATCTAACGACCTGATTGTCCTGTTCGCAGAGGCAAAGCCTCGTTCCAAAGCTTAGAGGCTGCACTGGCAACAGCCCGATCACCCTAGCGACAGAGCCTGTGCCGTGGAGTACTTCGAAGAACGACACATTTGTATTTATATTTACGCGATCTAACTCAACAAAAAAACCTGTATGATACTTAAGACGATCCGAAGATCTCAGGGACCTCGCTGGAGAGTGAACGTGGATCTGTGTTCCCTGTACATACTGCAGAGATGGAACCCAGTGAGTGCCTGCGCCCAAGTGCGCTCCTTAAAATCTGACACTCTCGTCCCACCATCCCATGTCGTGTCTCACACTCGTCTCCCCCCCTCCCCCCCGTCCTGTTGTTGGTTTTGCCAATCTCTCGTCTGACATCCTCGCTAGATTTTTCTGCACATCGCCATTTTCGTACGTGTCACTTTGCGAAGTCACATCTCTTGTCCGAGACTTCTAAAGATTGTCGATTATAATTTGTCCCACCTCGCTGCGTTCAAAAACACTTATAATGCTGCTCCATGGAATGCCAACTCACTTTTACTCTATAGTTCGCAACCATGTTTGTCCCCAGTAGGTCGTTAATTGGACAATACATTGCATGCACTCTTGGGATGCTCCTTTGGTGCAGTGATGGTTAGCACAACTGGACTTGCAATGCGGACGTCACCGCAGTTAGTCGACGGCAGAACATGCGATGTGGTCAAATTTGGGTACTCCCGCCTCTTTAAAAATTGCCCTGGCCAGCGTGGAAGAGTAGGCCAAATACCCTCTACACAGGGTCTCTCTCTCTCTCTAGAGCTCCCCTCTAAGCCAGTGTTCTTCACTAATTTTCAGGAGTGGGGGTCACTTTCGCCGACGAGACATCATCAGTGTGAGGGATGCCACACATTTGAAACCATTGGGGTCAGACAGCACGATGAGGATGGGGGTTGTTTTCACTTTTGTGCATAGGCAGAGTTTTACTGCTATATTGGGGGGGGGGCAGGGGGGGCAGGGGTTCGCTTTGTTTCGTATGATGAATTGCAGGTGCACATAATTTATTTTACATTTTAATCGTAAACGACTGAAAATAAATTAACAAAGGTGTCCATTTTGGTGGTGGAGGAGGGGGGGGGAAACACTCCGCCCATGTATTTGTGTATAGTCAGGGCGGGAGGGGGGGGCGCACTCAAGGCCACCAGGGGCCGCCCAGTGGACCCCCCGTGAGCCTTGCGATGAAGAACGCCGCTCGAGGCAGAAGGGGCCCCCTTCCCGCCAGCGGTGGCTTTCGGCGAATACTTTTCAGGCGGCTGCAACATCGCGTCGAAAAGAACATTGCGAACGGTTGCCCGTCGGGTTTCGTAGCAATCGACGGTGCGTTTATTCGAGAATATGGTATTAAAAAATAACTCTGAGCAAGAAAAAAAAAACACTTTTTTTTTTAGTTTAGGCCTGCTTGTTCAGTAGGCGGCCCAGGGGCCCGGCCACGTGGGGCCGTTTGGGACGCCGTCGCGGACGAGCTGGTCAAACGATACCAAAAAAAAAAGCGACTTTACAACACTGCAGCGACGACGACGTTCAACGACGCGACCCGAAAGAAAGAACCTCCTCCCCCGTCATTGACAGAATACGTGACGACGGCACGGTGTCAAAAAAAAAAGAAACGACTCCACGACGATTCGAGACGGTGGGGGGAGGGAGGGAATGGTACAACGCAAATAAACGGTGGACTTTGCGAGTCCCCTGCTGGGCTTTGCGAGTCGCCTGCTGGGGATTTGCAAGCCACTTGCTGCTGTTGCTCCTGCTGCTTTCACACTTATACGACTAAATATATATGAATAACTTCGTGCCTCTAAAGATGTAAGCCACAACCAGAGTGGCTTTTTGAGAAAAAAATACAGAAATAAGGGTTGGAGGGGGGGGGTTTGGGGAAATTCGTTTTTGGCAGTGAGATTTCAAGTTTAACCCCTCTTCTAAGTAACTTTGACATTTTTTTTGCATGAATGTCGAATGATCGACATACATCATGAGCACTTGGGAAACCTCAACGAGTGGAAACACCTCCCCTATTTGGCAAGGCAGTCGATCGCATTCAGTTTGTGCATTCCTATCATGGCTCGCCGCTCTACTTCACATCCCTTGTGCACAATCGGAGACAGTAAAATACTGCACGTGCTGTTCACGAACAGCACGTTTCTGAAATATTGCCTGCTGCTGCTGCTCAGGCCCGTCCCGTGTTAACACTTCATATAGTAGCCGTGAGACGTTTTCCTGTGGCTGGCGGCTTGTTTGGCAGTGTTTGCTTGGCAGTGTTGAACTCTGCGCGCGATGGTGCGTTAAGAAGTTAGCACAGCATTGTGTGTGCATGCGAGCGAGCGAGTGTGTGCGTGTGTGAACGTGTGTGTGTGAGCGTGCGTGTGTGTGAGTGAGTGAGTGTGTGAGTGAGCGGGGGAGCGGGCAGTAGTGTAGCGGTTACGAACCTGGCGACCCAAGTTCGATTCCCGCTCGCGGCCAACCACCAGCGACTGGGTTCTGGGCCTCCCCTAGGTCGATTCGGCCTTAAATGAGTTCCTGGTGCGGTGTGTAAACATCGCCACTGGGGAGACAAAGGCGGTCGGGCGGTGGTGCTGGCCACCCACCCCCTCGTGTACCGTGCCGGCCTTCATAGGTGCTCGCCAACAGCACTTGCCCCAACAGTCTCTTAAGACGCTTACGCGAGTATCTTTGTCTTTGATGGATACCGAAGGAGGGGGGGAGAGGTCGACATTGCCGGCAGGATACAAATCGGACCCCCCCCCCCCCCACGCCCGACTCCACTTCCCTTCCTCCTCGCCCTTAGTTCACGGGGCCTGCTTTGCTTGTCTGGAGCTTGGTGGCACAGGCGGCCGTGGCCTCGGGCTTGCGTCCCGATTTGCCGATCTGCCGGATGCTCTTGGTGATGGTGATGGTCACCTGCTTGGTGGACATGCGGTTCGCCTGCCATTTCGTCTGCCGGCGAGAGGAGGGCGCACATTGCCATTACAAACAAACCACAAACGGGACACCCCCTTTGTATTTTTATTGCCAGTATTAAAGTATGAAAAATAAGAACGCCTTTTGTTCTTGATGCCAATAAAACACAAGGTGCGGGAAGCAGTGCCGGATTCAGCTCTTGCGGGGGCCTGGAGCATGTGCGAGCGGATTTCGTCCATCAACATGGAGCTCCGACCACTCATCAATAATCATGACCTTGCACCCACCTCCTCATTTAATCATCATGAGCGGGTCATTATTTTCGGTTGAATATTGCAGATTAACTGCAGTATACCCGTCCTTGGACGGGCTATAGGCTAGTGTGCTATAAAGGGGTCCCAAATAAAATGAAAATTAAAACACAATTATTACTTGTATAGTAAAGTAATTGTATTTTTTTCAATTGCTATACGGCCAGATGATGCGACAAATCGCTAACCTTAAACACCCAGTTGTTCATAAAAGTTTAAAGCAGTATAGTACTATAGTAATAGAGCAAGTGCAGAATCACTGAACCGGAATTGATAGCTTGAAAGCGTTTAGCGAAGGGAGCTTGAAAGTGCGGGGCCCGTAGCTAGTAGTAGCTACTACATGTGTAGTAGTAGTCACTACTTTTGCTCCGAGGATAATCCGGCACCGGGTGTTAAGGTGTTCAGACACCAAAATAGATACTTTTTTTGCAAGGAATCAAGATCGCACTCGCCACACACATGCTTATGGCAAACGCGCTAACAAATAATATTTTATATAATCAGAGCAGTAAATATTTTAGTTTTTTTAACAGAACAATGGACATTGCCCCAGGGCAACTTGTTTTTCACGCGATGCAGCCAAGATCCCCGCCACCGCTCTAAAGGGATGGGAATGCAAAGAGAGAAAGCGGAGCCGAGAGCTGTTGCCCGACACCCGATCACATGTCGCAGATGTTGTTTCCCGCTGTGAAACGGCCCCAGACCCGCTTGTATCTACACGAAGACGACCACGCGAGCGAGTGAGCTGTGGTTCTCAAAGTTGAGTCGTGGGCATGGTCCACACACAAAATAAACAACGGCCGATTCGAGGTGGGACTGCGTGCGCAAGGCGCTCTGAGATGCTGGGGGAGTTTCAGCGACCAGCAAATCCCCGACCCTTGCCTCGCCCGGCTTGCTATGCTTGATGCCAGCTACGGCTTTTGGGTTTGCTGTATTCGTAAACGTTCGCCCGAACACTTTTTTGTTCGTCCATTTCGTTACACCTAATCGCGGTTCACAAATTATTGCAGTTTTGGCAGTGAATGTCACGGCGGTGAATTGTTGCCGTGGTCAATTATCGCGGTGGCGAATGGTCACGGCGGTGATTTTTCACGGTGTTGAATCATTGCGGTGGTGAATTATTGCGGCGTTGACTTATCAAGGCGGTGAACGATCACGGCGGTGAATTCCCACCTCCTCGGTGCGGATGACGCTCTTCTTCTCGAGCGTGGTGATCTCGGCGCCCGTGCTGGCGTGGTGCGCGTGCGTCCTCGTGGCCGGGAAGAGCTCCACGGAGAGCGAGGAGCGCTCGGGAGAGCCGCCCACCGCCTCCGCAGCCACCGCAGCCGCCGCCTCGCCGGTAGTGGCGGCGCCGCCGACGGGGGGCTCAGAGGGGCGTCTCGACCCTTCGCCCGTGGCCGGCGAAGGGTCCTCGGGGGTGGAGGCGTCGGCGTTCTCCAGCGCGGAGTCCCTCGGCCCGGTGGCCTCGTGCAGGTGCTCCGACTGGCTCATCGTGACGTACGCCTGCGCCGGGTACGCCAGGCCGTCGTCAAAGATCCCTGCCGGTCGAGTGACGGGAGAGAGAGGCGCGGGCACGGCGCGTCAGTGTCGCGCGGGGCTGCGCGCTGGCGGATCCCGCTCCTTGAGACCCCCCCTCTCATTCCTTTCCAGCCCTCCAGCTTTCTGTCGCTCCCCCCCTCCCCCAGCTATGCCCAGGCCTATCCCAACCCCTCCTTATCAATCCCTGTTGTTTTTACCGCATGAAAACTACACCACCGCTTACAATGACCCCGTTTCTTCATTTCAAACGATTATCATGCGACGTCCAATTTTATAATTGCTGTAAAGCGCCTTTGGTGAAGGTAAAGGCGTTATATAAATGACAAACACGATAAGAGAGTTATTTTATTGGATCCCTGAGCACGCACGGCACCCTACAGCGGTGAGCTTCGCCCTCGGACGGAACCGAATTCAGCGGCGAGTGGTCGTGGGGGCAGCAGGAACGCCCTGCCCCGGCTGCCCATGCGGAGCGGCCTCTCTCGGTAGTTCGTGATTTGAAGGAAGCGCGCAAAGTGTTCGACACGTCGCCGAGTTCCGAAGCCGAATATGGAAATTCCACATTCCCGTGACGGGTTGTTGGGGCGGGAGGAGGAGCGAATGTTAGATATTCACACGCAGCAGCAGCAGCAACAACAACAACAACGCCCTCCTAATGCGAAACACTCGGCAGGATCCTTCTAAAAATCTGGCTTCAAATCGAGTGAGGCCTTGCTGGATAGACAAGCGGAATTATACTAATAATGCTATTATTGTTATTCTTGGTTCTTTCGGTAAAGTCACGTAGAAGGGAAACAATAAAATAATAAAAAATATTAATATGTTTCCCTTCTACGTGACTTTACCGAAAGAACCAATAATATGAATCCCTGCAGTCACGAAAGCTTTAAATAAAAATGTAAAAGCTATAATTGTTTCGATTTAAAGCTTTCGTGACTGCAATGATTCATCTTCTTTGGTTCTTTCGGTAAAGTCACGTAGAATGCGAATAAAATAATAAATTGATAAAATAAAATAACACAATAATATTCTCACGACGTTTCGGCCACAACACAAGCGGCCTTCATCAGGTGAAAGGACGAGACGCCGCTTGTGTTGTGGCCGAAACGTCGTGAGAATATTATTGTGTTATTTTATTTTATCAATTTATTATTTTATTCTCATTCTACGTGACTTTACCGAAAGAACCAAAGAAGCTATTATTGTTGTTATTTGATAGTTAACGTCATCCAGAATAGAATTGATTTTAAGATTGGCACCCTAACAGGTATATGCTACACAGGGCCCAATAGGTGGAGTTGATCAGCACAGTTGTTCTAAGCATGTATCGACCGCTCATGTATATAATCAATCACATTCCTTTGTCAATCCACTGCTGGATGAAGCCAACTCCCTCCCCGCTGTGTCAGTAATGGGGTTGGTGACCATACTTCACCACGGCGGACAGTCATACAGGACGGTGAACGGGAAGGGTAGGCGGTATAGATATCACTTTACCACTGATGTTATCCATTGCCTGGAATCGAAATCGTGTTGCTGCTGAGTTTGAAAGCGCAGTGCACTAACCGCTGCACCGCCTCCACTCAAACACCCCCCCCCCCCCTCATGTGTGTGTGTGTGGGTGTGCATGACCCCGCTGTGGTTTAATCTGGTGCTCTTTTTAGGGCTGAGTTGACCTAGGGGAGGCCCACAATACAAAGAGACAAAGACAAAGATCCCCCGTGCAGCCTTAACAGACTGTTGGGGCAAGTGCTTTCAGCGAGCGCCTATGAAGGCCGGCGTGGCACACGAGGGGTTTGGTGGCCAGCACCACGCCCGGTCGCCTTTGTCCCCCTCATGGCGATGTTCACTACACACCGCTACACTAAGTACTCATTTGTGGCCGAGTCGACCTAGGGGAGGCCCAGGACCGATTCTGAAAATCGTCACTGGTGTTGGCCATGAGCGGGATTCGAACTCGGGTCGCCGAGTCGGTAGCGCAGCGCCCTATCCGCTACACGACCGCTCCCCACATTACCCACACACCAATACCAGTACCTGACCATTCGCCACTTCGTGACGGTGACGTCACCACGGCGTCTGCCAGGCTAGGTGCACTTTGGGGCCACGTGAAGTGTCGAAGGCTAGCTGACAGGAAGAGGTCTCGGGATATCCCCAGCAGGTGCCATGGGTTGGCTGACTGATATGACTGGTAAATGCACCACCAGCTATACCCCATACAGTGCCAACTTGCTATATTTTAGCCGGCCCGGCGCTCCGCTCATTGTAAGCGTGGCTTCTCTGCCCTCCGTTGTTGCTGGAGGGCGACTGACCCACATCGACAAACGCACGCACAACGTGAGCTTGCAAGCCTTATGCAATTGCATATGTGCTCTACTCATGTCCATCGTGCGTCAATTGTGAGCAAGCGCGCCTCCGCCTGGTCTTTTTTTCTGAGTAAATTATTGTGAGTCTGTCATTGTCTGATTTCAGTATATAGTATGTATTGTAACACGGTGTTTGTGTGTAAATTATGGTCCTTATGTAACCATGGGCCACGAGAGCTCCCTCACTTCTCCCATTGCAACACATCAGCCAGCCAACTATCCAGTGAGCTTCCAAGCAGCCTGCCAGGCAATTAAGCCAATCTGCAAACCGCCCTTAGAATCAGCTGTCCAGCTAGTCAGTCAGAAACCCAGCTATCCAGCTCTCCAGCTGTCCATCCAGTCAGACAGCCAGCAAGCCATCTAGCTGCCCAGTTAGTCAGGTAGCCAATTATCCAGCCGGCCATTCAGCTAAACAGTCAGTCTGCCAGTGTGCAAGCCTGTCAGTCATCCAGCCAGCCAGTCACCCGGCCAGGTCGTCAGCCAGGAAACTGGCTTGTCCACCAGACAATCAGCCAGCCAACTTATCCATCAGCCAGCTAATCACCAAGTCAACCAACCACCTAGTCCGTAAACCAACCATCCAATGTCAAGCATTCTATCCGGCCTGTGAGTCAGCGAGCCGGAAATCCAGTGCAGTTAACCAGCTATGACTGTATATTCTTAGCTCTTTCGGTAAAGTCACGTTGAAGGGAAACAATAAAATAATAAGGTGACTTTACCGAAAGAGCTAAGAATATGAATTACTGCACTCACGAAAGCTTTAAATCAAAATTCAGCTAGCCACCGAAATATCCACTAATCCAACCAATCAGTCATTCATTCAGCCAGACAGCCACTCAGCCAATCAGCCGGCCACCCAATCAATCAATCAATGGACCATGCACGAGGATATGACAGTGATGATGGCCGCGCGGTGGTGCGGCTCCGCCTGACTCACCGGCGCTCATGAGGCTCAGGGAGCCGCCGTCGCCGCTGTCGGCGCAGGACGCCGCGTCGAGGCTGCCCGGCGCGGCGGGGATGGCGGAGAGGGGCACCTCGGACTCTGTGCCCGTGAGCCACGTGCTCTCCGTCTCCTTGGTCCAACTCTCGTGGTAGCGCGGCTCGATGGCGTCCGCTTTGCTCCCTCCGCATCCCATGGTGGACGAGCCTCGCCTCCCCCCTCCACTTCCCCCAGTGCGGACAAGTGCCTGCAGTGGGCGAGTAAACACGCGTGCTGCTGTTGTTGTTACACACGTGTGTGTGTGTTGTTGTTACACACGCGTGTGTGTGCTGCTGTTGTTGTTGTTACACACGTGTGTGTTGTTGTTACACACGCGTGTGTGTTGTTGTTACACACGCGTGTGTGTGCTGCTGTTGTTGTTACACACGCGTGTGTGTTGTTGTTACACACGCGTGTGTGTGCTGCTGTTGTTGTTACACACGTGTGTGTGTGCTGCTGTTGTTGTTGTTACACACGCGTGTGTGTTGTTGTTACACACGCGTGCGTGTGCTGCCGTTGTTGTTACACACGTGTGTGTGTTGTTGTTACACACGCGTGTGTGTGCTGCTGTTGTTGTTACGCACGTGTGTGTGTTGTTGTTACACACGCGTGTGTGTGTTGTTGTTACACACGCGTGTGTGCTACTGGTGTTGTTGTTACACACGCGTGTGTGCTACTGGTGTTGTTGTTACACACGCGTGTGTGCTAATGCTGTTGTTATTACACACGCGTGTGTGTGTGTGTTGTTGTTACACACGCGTGTGTGTGCTGCTGCTGTTGTTGTTACACACGCGTGTGTATGCTGCTGTTGTTGTTACACACGCGTGTGTGTGTTGTTGTTACACACGCGTGTGTGCTGCTGCTGTTGTTGTTACACACGCGTGTATGCTGATGTTGTTGTTACACACGCGTGTATGCTGTTGTTGTTACACACGCGTGTATGCTGATATTGTTGCTACACACGCGTATATGCTGCTGCTGTTGTTACACGCGTGTATGCTGCTGTTGTTGTTACACACGCGTGTATGCTGTTGTTGTTACACACGCGTGTATGCTGACGTTGTTGTTACACACGCGTGTATGCTGCTGCTGTTGTTGTTACACACGCGTGTATGCTGCTGCTGTTGTTGTTACACACGTGTGTATGCTGCTGTTGTTAGGCGTATGTTGAACTTCCGTCGCACCGTAAGTACATAGCTAACCATGCTAATCACTGTCGTTACACGCGTGCTACTGTGTTGTTATACGCGTGTGTGTGCTGCTGTTACACGCTTATACTGTGTTGTGAGTGTGGGTTGTGTATATGGTGTTGCTGATTTGATGCGTGCGCGTGGATTTGCCATTGTTTATGATGCTCACTGTGTGTGTATAGAGGTCGGCACCTGGCATGGTGTGTAAGCATCAGCATTGGGGAGACAAAGGCGGCCGGGTGTGGTATTGGCCTTCATAGGTGCTCGCTAACAGCACTTCGCTCAACAGTCTGTTAAAGGCTATGTGGGTTATCTTTGTGTGGATGTGTGGTGCTGTTTGTCTGTACCGTATGGATCGCTGCATGTATTTACACTGCATGGTGCTTACTGTGTGTGCATGGTGCTGTGTGTACGCTTGGTATTACACTGCATGGTGCTTATTGTGTGTGTGCATGGTGCTGTGTGTACGCTGGTATTACACTGCATGATGCTTACTGAGTGTGTGCATGGTGCTGTGTGTACGCTGGTATTACACTGCATGGCGGCTTTCTGAGTGTGTGCATGGTGCTGTGTGCACGCTTGGTATTACACTGCATGGTGCTTACTGAGTGTGTGTGCATGGTGATGTGTGTATGCTTGGTATTACACTGCATGGTGCTTACTGTGTGTGTGCATGGTGCTGTGTGTACGCTTGGTATTACACTGCATGGTGCTTACTGTGTGTGCATGGTGATGTGTGTATGCTTGGTATTACACTGTATGGTGCTTACTGTGTGTGCATGGTGCTGTGTGTACGCTTGGTATTGCACTGCATGGTGCTTACTGTGTGTGTGCATGGTCCTGCGTGTACGCTTGGTATTACACTGCATGATGCTTGCTGAGTGTGTGTGCATGGTGCTGTGTGCACGCTTGGTATTACACTGCATGGTGCTTACTGAGTGTGTGTGCATGGTGCTGTGTGCACGCTTGGTATTACACTGCATGGTGCTTACTGTGTGTGTGCATGGTGCTGTGTGTACGCTGGTATTACACTGCATGGTGCTTACTGTGTGTGTGTGTGTCCATGGTCATGTGTGTACGCTTGGTATTACACTGCATGGTGCTTACTGAGTGTGTGTGCATGGTGCTGTGTGTACGCTTGGTATTACACTGCATGGTGCTTACTGTGTGTGTGCATGGTGCTGTGTGCACGCTTGGTATTACACTGCATGGTGCTTACTGTGTGTGTGCATGGTGATGTGGGTGTATGCATAGGGGTGTATTATGTACGGGGCTGTGTGCACGTGTGCGTGTTTGGCTATAAGCATCTATGTTTACTGTTTGGTGCTGTGTCCGTATGTACGTACTGTAGCTATACAGTATATAAATGTATACTGTATGGCGCTGGCTTGTGTGGGAAGAGGCTCCGAGATGAATCCCCGTGGACGCGCCGCGGCAGAACTGCGACTCCCTCCTCACCGCTCCATCTCCGCGCTAACAGTTCCACGGCTCCACCGTGTCCACCGTCCGTCCAGTCACGAGCAGGTTCTAGGGCTCGAGCGCCCCCGCGGGATCCCCTTTAGTACCCTCTAGGTACCCCCTCCCCCCCCCTCCCCCCGATACTGGACCCTTCTCTGTACGAGCGAGGCCCTTGACATTCAATCAGAGCGTCGTCCCCTTACGCCGCCGTAATGGTCGCGGGCTGAATCGGCACCGCGGATTCTCGCTGCCGGTACGGAAGCCGCTGTCCTTGGTACCGATGCCGCTCGCCGACTGTCGCCTCGTCGTTGGTCGTGCAGATCTTAATGATGGACTGTCGACCGTGCGCCCTCTCTCTCTCTGTCTCTCGCTAGGAGCTTGTCCTTGGCTCCACGCTGTCTTTATTCCCACCGCAGCCCTCGTCCCATCTCATTCCCTACCCCCACCCACTCTGCCACACCCCACCCCCCCCCCAAAAAAAAATAGCTCCCCACCACTCACTCCAGCCTCCCCCCCCCCGCCACACACCACCCACTACCCCCCTCCCTCCTGTGACGATCTGGGTACCTGTTGACCCACACGCGCTCCTCAGTGACGCACGCCGCGATGGGCAATCGCGTATCGAGGTTCCCTGGCCGGCGTGCGCGCTTTGATGTTATCCTTCCAGGGGAACGGGAAACATTGTCGCTGTGGAGAGGCGGGGCTGTGGTGGCCTGTGTGGAGAAGTGGGGAAGGGGGGCTGGGAGTGGGGGGCGGATAGGAGGGAGGACACTGCCCAGAGATGCGACGTCGATTCGCTGCCTCCGCGATCCACGTCTCGGCCGTGCATCTTCCTCCTCCCTGATTCTCTGCGCCCACGTCGACAAACGTCGACTGCACAGAGAGGGAGAGAGAGACTCCTTCTCTTTCTCTCTCCCACCCACCCTTTCTCTCTCTCCCACTCTCTCTCTCCCATTCTCTCTCCCTCCCACCCTCTCTCTCTCCCACTCTCTCTTTTTTTACGATCAGAGGAAACAAGAAGATGCTCGGTGTATTCGGCACTTTGCTCCGTTCATAATTTCGGTTTTTTTTTAATGCTTTGCTTTATGTAACCCCCCCCCCCCCCCCTTTTAAATGAAAGACCCAACAAAATATATTTTCTTCTTTTTTCTGCTCTCCTGACCCCTTCCCTCTCTCTCTACCCCTCTCTCTGCCCCTCCTCTCTCTCTCTACCCCCCCTCTCTGCCCTCTCTCTTCCTACTCCATTTCTCTCTTTTTTTCCCCACTCACCCTCTCTCTCCAACTCTCACTCTCCCACTCTCCCCCCAATCTCTCTCTCCCTGCTGAAATGCAACGTCATATTTCGTTATATGTTTACATGCGAGTAGAGCAGTCGTCCTGTGTTTGTTTCATGTTTCTTTAACGTCGTTGCCCTTACATTTTTATATTCTTGGGTCTTTCGGTGAAGTCACGTCGATAGGTTCAAAGAAAATAACCTAAAAATATCAGTTGTACTCTACATCGTTTGGTGATTCTACGTTACAAGTGGTGCTCAAGCACCAATGACAACGTAGAAGTCAACACATAGGCCTTTAAATCAAATATAAATATAATGTGCGACGTATCGGACAATTACGTGCTAGGATGAAGGGCTATTGCCCGAAACGTGATCTATTTTATATAAAATATATATAAAAAATGTATCAATGTGTTATACCACAGTGTTATTGACGAATGCGTTGAGTCATTTAGCAATTGTATTATGGATCAATCTAAAAATAAATCAGCTGAACGAGCCTACAGAAACTGCATGGAATTTATTATTTAACAATGATTCACGTTTGTACAATTTGTTTCGATTTCTTATGCGACACAGCAGTTGTTTTTATCTCCGATTCCCACTCGCTTCGTTGCTGTGATTTCATGTGTTACTTTATTTATTTCTAGTTTCGCGATTATGGTGACCCAGGAGGCCACCCTTGCAAATGCGCCCTCGCCCTGCCCTCTCTCGACCTGGAACCCCTTCGCTCTCCCTCCTTCCCTCCTCTCCACCCACCCCTCCCTGCCTTTGTCTGCTTCCCTTCTTATCTCCCTCTCTCCTCCCTCCCTGCCTCTCACATCACCTTCGCTCCCATTCTGCCCGTCTCCCTACATCACGATGGCCCATCCACCCTCCCGTCATTATTCCCCATCACCCTATCTCCCTGCTTCCCTCGCTACTTCCCACACACGCTGCCTTCTTCACTCGAGTATTCCCTTCCTCGCCTTCATCTCTCCCTGCCTCCCCACCCCCTCCTATACTCCGTCTACCTCCATCCCTCAATATCACGCATCCTACCTACCTACCTTCATTATTCATTAGCATCGTATCCCCCCCTCCCGTCTACCTGCCACGTTCCTACCGCCAGTGGCGCCCTTGCGTTCATCCCCAGCGTACGCCTTTGCTGTTGTGTCTGTAATCAACTCAGGACGCCTCCACCGCCCGCTATCCCCCCCCCCACCCCCCGTGAGGGGTGGACGTGGGATCAATTAATATAGGCACGAGGGGGGAGGACGTTTCGAGGCGCCAAGGTCCGCCTCGTGTCACCGCGGCTGCGTGGATAATGAAACAAGGGGACCGCATTCAATTCGCGTTCACCTCCACTCATCAAACATGGGATAAGAGGGCGGGCGGTAGGGGTGCTTTGCCTCTGCCCATCAGCAAGGCGCAGCCCTGCAATTGCTCGCTCACGCCTCTGCTATCGGAAGGGGCCTCCTGTTAGAGGCTCGAGGGACGCTCGGGGGTTGTTGTTGTTGTTGTTGTTCTCTTCCACGCTGGCCGGGCGTGTTGGGAGAGGTGGGGTGTACCCACACTTTACCCACCGCACGCGACCTGCCGATCATAGACTGACCGTGATGTGCCCATTTATACTGCTGGGTAGGCTGGGGGGAGCGGGCGGGTGGGCATTGAAGGGACTTTGCCAAACCGCGTCAATTCTTGATCGTAATATTCTCACCTTTCTTGTCAACGCCATCTAATAAAAACAATAACAGCAATAGATGGATGTTGAGGACGCTCTACAAATTAAGACGCACCCAACACTGGTGCTCGCCGTCAATGAATCTATACACATCTCACACACACACGCAAAAAGACAAAGATTCCCCCGTCTAGCCTTGACAGACTGTAGGGGCAAGTGCTGTTAGCGAGCACCTACGAAGGCCGTCTCACACACAGACACACACACTCCGGATTGTAATACTCACCCCCCCCGTGTTGCTTTCATACACAGGGTGGTGGTTACAGGTAAGGGGGAGTGGGGCAGTGCGTCCTATAATCCGCACAACGCGGTAGTTCTTGCAATACACGATGCAGCGAGCATAGGATCACGAGTTTTTTAAAAAATCTATGTTTTTTTTTTTAGATGTGTGCAAATGGTATGCTAATGTCACGTTTTCGTCGAAGCGATGAGCGAGCGAGGCAACGACGCGGATTTGACGAGGACCGCGAAAATGCGCCTTAATTGTCACACTTTACTGCCGTAATTCCTTCCGTTGCCGTGGCAACAGCAGAAGGTTGTGCAAGAGCTATGTGTGTTATATGTCAAAGATATCGGGTGTGTGTATGTGTGTGAAATATTGAGTGGGAGCCGAGCGGTGGCACAGTGGTTAGCGCACTGCGCTGCGATTCCCTGCCGACAGAGTTTGATTCCCGCTCACAACCGGTAACAATCTGTGACCGTTATCTGAACAGGTCCTGGGTCTCCCCTAGGTCGACTCAGCCTTAAGTGAGTACCTGCTGCGGTGTGTAATACAGCAGCACTGGGGAGACAAAGGCGGCCGGGAGCCTGGCGATGCCCCCCCCCCATGCGCCGTGCCAGTCTAAACGAGAATCAAAATATGTATTTGTAATTTAAGAATCCGATGAGCTATAAAGCTCTTTTGCACAGATGTCCAGTTGATGCTCACTAACAGCACTTGCCCCCAACCGTCTCTTGAATGCTATGCGGGGTTAGCGGCGTCTTGTACATCGCGTGTGCACGTGGAACACTGATTCATCCCACGAGGGAACATTCGCAAATGCGATCGTATCGAGTGTGAAGAAGAACCACTCCGTGAGGGCTTTAGGCAGAACCCAATCGTGGCTATAGACGAGATTGGTGACGGAGTGACAGCCGAAGAATAGGGCTTTGGGAGGAAAACAAAAACTAAAACCTCCTTTCAAAGTAACATCCTTCGCGGAGACGGAGCGATGACATTAGCTCGGTGGAAGTGTTGATTTCATCGCGAGACCGCAAGAGTCGGCGACGGATTCGGGGAGGCCATCAACCAGCAGTGGAGAGATCAACGCCGATGATGTTTGATGGCTAAGCTTCGGTGGGCTCGATCGGGGCTGTGACCGTGCTGGGGAAATTCGAGTCAACTGCAGGAGGTGTCATTGTTGAGCGTTGGGGTGCGTTTGCTAATCTCAGTTACTCGCATGTGCACGTGGCTTTTTGTCGTTATTAACTACGGGCAGAAACCGGAAAGCCCGGAGGAAATCCACGCAGACGAGAGGGGGAGAACATACAACGATGCCCCAGTCGGGATTTGAACCAATGATCCTCCTTGTTGCGAGGCGCAAGTGTGACTGGAATGACAATCGAGCCTGCATGCGATGTGACGGGACTAGTGGCCACGGGAGGTAGTGACAGGGAAGTCAGCCTACGGTACGAGTGCACTCGTGGCCACGGGAGGTAATGCCAGGGGTGTCAGCTGTGAGTGAGAAGGAACCGGTGGCTACGGGAATGATCGAGAAGAAGGGAGCGTGGTCAGGTGACGGAAGAGAACGGTGGAGTCTGCCGGTGGAGCAAGCGTCCAGAGTCAGCGAGAATGATCGAGAAGGGGGGGGGGGGCGTGGCCTCGTGTTGGTATATAAAAGGTTGATGCGCGGGAGACTCGGGGCTGTTGCAGTCGGGGTCTCCGCCTGATGTCAAGTGAACGTGTCTTCAATAAAGTGCCATCTCCAGAGGAGTGTGTCGAGTCGTCACTACATTACCAACTGCAGCACGTAACCTGCTTCAGCGCCACTGCCAACGCAGCATCGTACTGCAGGATCATGAGAATAAGTTTTGCTGGCTGGCTGGAGGGAGGGAAGGAGTGAAGGACGGCCACGTGCAAAGGACGTGCAGGCTGCAAGCTAACCTTAAACGAATCATATGGTGGTGATGCTACTGCTGCTGCTGCGCTGTCTGTGGTGCACAATTCACAACAACACTCAACACTCGTCAACAGCACTGCCTTCAAAGGTCATTGCTCAGAGCGCATGCATGATGTATGTGCATGATGTACGTGCTACATGCATGATGTATGTACATGATGTACGTGCTACATACATGATGCATGCGCTCTGAAGAAGGACCATTGCTAAGGTCGTCGTCTTATAAAGATATATATGCCTACTATAATCACCCAGAAATGTCTGTCCGTCCCGCGCGTGACGTCACTTATTA